GCACAGGATCATCTCGTGTCCTAGCATCGGCAACAGGTGGATGAGATGCAGGGTCTTTCAACAACCTCATCGGGAAGATGAACTCATCAGTCGGAAGCTCAATGCGCTTTGTTCGCTGTACCGTGAGGGACGCATGTTCAATGTGGTAATCGAGCCCTTCTAGTTTTGCAACAAGGAACTCGCCTTTCCATGCGAACCCAGGCTGAATGTGGTACCCGAGAAACACGCCTTCATTTGATGTTGGCGAAGTCTTGCCTGCCTGATTGTCAGCTCGTGCAGGGTTGTTCCAGAACAGTACCTTTGCTCCGAAAGGTATCTCAGCTTCATCAAAGGTCTTGTGAAACCTGAGGTACCATGGCGAATCGTTTCCATTCAACTGTGGCAGGATGTTGGTCGCAACTGCATTGTGCTGGATTGCAAATGGCCACATCGACAGTGGAAACCCTGACTGAACAAGATTCGCACGTGCTCCCTCCAACAGATGTCTGATCTCCCTTTCTACGAAAGATTTGGAAGAATCAACATATTCAATGGAGGTCTGATGACGGTACCCCAACTGCTCTATAGCGGCTTTCAATTCCCGGGAGTTATCGGTGTAGAGAACCTCAACCTCATCCCTACCGGAAATGAAATGCTGGATCCCTGCAACGGATTGCTCCGTGCTTTTGCTGGTCGACGGATAAACGTACCTGAACTGCGTATGCACGTCCTTGATCACAAGAGCACACCATTCACCTTTGATACCTTGCTCGATGTTGGCCTTGAGAATCACATGATCAGCAATGATGTGATCTCCAAACGCTTTCGTCTCGAGCCTTCCCTGCCCGCCCTTCGATCTTGCATATGGGGCAAGCATCTTGGCACGTTGGCAAGTGCGGCAAAAGGGATTCTTCGGATAGTGTGCAAACAAGTGCTCTTTGGTACTCGCTTCGGCAACCAGATCTTGCTCTTTGCGGGATCTCACAAACCGCTCGACTTCGTCGTCGGGATCATCACCTTCGTCGATGCCTTCGTCATGAACCGGTGCAGGCGCTGGCTTGGATGCTGCTACTGCACTCAACGATGGCTCAGCTTCACAGCTAGAATCCATGTATGGCACATGACCGTCAACCTTGAGCTGGATCAGAGCACCATCAGGGCGAACCATGGTTGGCGCCTTCCCGGATTCCCAATGGAAGGAATATCCTTGATCCAGACACTTCACACCCAGCGACAGCATTGCAGGAGAACTCTCGAGGATGTAAGGCTGAGCAGGCTCACACAATGCATCGACATTGATGTCGGCGATTTCGGAAGCAGTGATGTTTCCGTTTGCAGTCACAAGGCGAATAGGCTGTGGGGCCTGTTTTCGGATTGCCTTGGACGCATTCCTCAGTGCAGCTTTGCTGATGAGGTCCTGCTCACTACCGGAATCAATAAGCCACACGTCCTTTCCCTTTGGTGCAGGGGTGGCTGCCCTTGGCGCTTCGACATCCTTGCGAACATCGTGAGGCGGCATGGCAATTCTCAGGCACTCGTCACATGACAGGCTTGAGATGGAATCGGATTCCACATCGCACATGAAACCACAAGCGGGCTGGGCTCCATTCTCAATGGCTTTGATTACGGCATTCAACTGGTTCGCGGCCTTGCGTGCTGCCTTGTTCGTCCCTTTGGTCGGCCTGGGGCAGTCCTTGGCATTTGGAAACATCCTGTTGTACTGCCGTTCCTCGTACTCAAGCTTGAAACCATCGCCTTCGGCGGGGATCTCATGCACATGAGCATTGGTGTCAAAAGACACCCCAATCGGATTGATCGGCTTGGCAAACATGGCGTACCTGGTGCAGACTGCAGCGGCTTTGGCCTTGGGCTTAGGCTTAGGTGAATTTGCACGCTTTTTAGCCGCAGGATTTGCGTTGGCCTCGTTGCTCGATGCCGCGGCGGCAGATTTGCCGCCCGTGGAGGCATGGCTAAACTTGCATTTGTCACCTCTAGTGCACTTCCCTTGGGCAAAGAAAGAACACGGCGCTTTCTCTCCTTTATTGCCTTTGGGGGAACTTGGCCTGCCACGGGTCGCGGAGCGTCCTCGCGGCTCCTTGCGCTTTTCAGGGGCGGCAGCACCAGCCTTGGGCGTCGGGGCTTTACTAGCATTGACTTTGGACACGCGCTCTCGGTTCTCGCGAAGCCTATCCCTCTCGATTAGATCCCTCATGCAACGCATTAGGAAATCGTACGATTTGTTGGGATCATCGTCACGGCAACGATCATATGTGTCGATGTCGTACCGCAACAGATGGCAGCTTCTCACTTGGCGAAGCAAGATGTCTTTTAACACCTTTTCTTCCGGCGGCCTTTTCATGCCGGCAATCACGGAATCCCAAGCGTTTAGGAAACGTTTGAGATCAATGATTCCTTCGCCGTGTCGCGAGACACGCAACAGATCCTCCAAGGAGTAGAGGTTTCCGGCTTCCTCACTGGTCTTGAAATATTGGTCAAACATAAACAAGACCTGCCTTCCTCTCATGGCCTTTCCCTCCTTGGCACATTCTTCCTTCGCTGTTAGGATTCGCTGAGCCAGATCGCCTTTCGCTGAACGCGTGAGCGCTGCGAGAATCTTCGTGTCTAGGGTCACGAATTTTCCCGGTTCGCCGAGCTCCTCCAACAGCTTCTTCTTGTCCTCGCGATCGGACCAGACTTCCATGATCCAAGGCCAAGCCTCGTCTGGACGGTCAGATGCAGCGCGGACATCCTCACGAACCGATGTCTTCCATTCACGGTACGTTTCAGGAGTTGGCATCTCCTTGAATCGCAACGTCTCGCTTTCGCGGGTTCTGGGCTTTTCATCGTTCGTGTGGCCTTTTACTAACTTCATCAACATTTTGGCGAATGCTTCTTGGCCGAGGTTAGGCCCGAGGCCATCACCTTCGTCTTCATCACCATCGCCATCGCCATCATCATCAGGTGGCGGACCGCCGGGAGGCTTACCACCCTGCTTGCGGTCATTTGACATTGGCCCCTGAGAGAATTGCAGGGGCGGGACCGGTGCACTTGTTTTCACCGGGGATCGGCTGCTACCTGATGGCTTTTCAGCTGGTCCTTGCGGATCGCGAGCATCTGCGGGCAGTGCTTCGCATTCGGCAGTTGGAATCACGCTAGGGGTATATTCAACCCCGTAACCGTCATAGGTAACAAGCGACCTCAACTTTTCCTTTGCATATTGAAATGGATGGGACAACGGGTCCAACATTGACCTTTGGGACCGAGCTGACTTCATGTCGTCGGTCATCAACTCTGGTGAATCCTCTCGGGTATCACCTACCCCTTTGGGCTTCGATCCATCCTCGCGGAGGTCGTGTTGCTTCTGATACCTCTTCAGCTCATCGAGCTCGTCCTGCAGAAGCCCGTTTTGGTGGGCCATCATGTCAATCGTCCTGGCGTTTTTCGCTTCAACACGGGCTGTGTCATCGGCGTGCTTGGCAGCTTGCTCATGAAGGAGCTGCTGGGCTTCCGCCAGGGTGGATTCGATGGCTTGCCTAAACTCAGTTGTTTTGTGTCCCATTTCCGCTTCATGCAATGCTTGGGCATTTTCCTCACACACTTGGCTTATCCTAGCTTCAGCGAAGTTCACTTCTTGAATGAACTCATCGCTCACTCGCTGTTCGTATTCACGAATTCTATGCGACTGGGCTTGCACACATTCAGCGTAGTGTGCATGCAGCTGATTCTGTGCGACACGGAGCTCCTCACGGTTTTCCGCTTGCAAATGCGTGACAGCTGCTTGATGCAGGGCTTCGGCTTCAGACCTAATGGCTGCATCATTCCCAAAAGCAAAGATTGCGGTATTGTACAGTTGAAGGGAATTCATCAGGGTGCGGTTGTACTGCGCATTAGCGCTTGATGCGAACATTCGCACACCGCCGCCGGTGGCGTTGTCGGAGCTAGCTCCGGCAGCATCCACAGGCATGTTGGATCCATCAACTGGCACAAGGGAACCGTCCATTGCTTAGAGCTAGGGGCCTACGGCTGATAACCTATAGATTCAAGGGTTACCGGTTTGGGGCCCAAAAGGAAACAACAAACCGTCCAAGTGCGCTGCTCGCACATTTTCACGCTTGAACAGCCACACTGCGGATGCAATGGATGTAAAACCCCATACTGACCGATCAAATTCTTCAAATTAAGGGGGGTTCAATCTGAAAACCGCGGCTTTGGGGGAAGGAGACAACTCATTCATAGTTCCAAGAGCGAACTTCAGAATAAGAGATGCCTGCGAGAAGAGGAGTTTGGGTTGCGGCAGTTGAACCGATGCTAACCTGCGACAGTTTTTTGTGTTTTTTTTCCGAGTGTTTTTTCTGGGTATAAGGGTCCGATCGATCTTGGCCCTCAAGAATAGGTTGAGTCGCAGGTCCATCTTGATTTTTACTTACTGGTTCCTGCCTTCAGACCTCAAAGATGGGAAGATCAACGGGAGCCAGTTGATCCCGAGGACATCGAATACTCTGAACAGTGAGCACGGACCTATAAAGGAAATGCCTTCCTTGGTTCATGGGTGAGCTGTGGCGTACAAGCGAAAGCCAAACAAAACACGCACGGGGGGTGAAAGGATAAGAGGTTTAAAGGTGAGAAGGCCAAGAGGGCCACATGAGGCACTGTCAAGGCTCATTCTGCCCCCCGCATGACATTGATATTTGTTGAACCCAGAATTCCAAAAGGCATATTGTTGAGTATACCCAAAGTCATCCCTTATACTACTTTACAAGGCAAACCCAAAGAGCCTAGTGGTTTTTGCAAGTTCCCTGTTTTTTCGGGCTGAACGTCAACGTTTTCAAGCACGTCAGCCTTCAAAGAGAGGGGTTTGTGGGTCTTGTTCTCAGATGCAACCCCGAACTGGGTTACCCTGCGGGTAAAAAAAAGAAAGAAACAAACGAAAAGAACAAAAATGCGGCCCACCTTCCCGGCGGCCTATTTTGACCCATACCCAGCCTCGTTTCTTCCTCGAACACTTCTCTCAGCCAAGGCTCGAGCTCTGGCTCGGGCTTGGGCTCGAGCGGCTTCGCCTTGGGCTTCGGCTTCCGACTTCTCCGCTTCGGCTCCGGGATCTCCGGGATCTCTGGCTCCGGCTGTACCTGGCGGAAAAAATAGAGTCCGGCGGGTTCCCCCGCCTTTGTTGGTGGCAAAAAAACCAAAAACGGCGACAGCTTTTTGTTGGCAGAGTCAAGGGTGGTTGCGAGGGTTTTCTCCGAAACGTGTGATAGTTTCCATGAGACCAGGGTCCATGGCCAGAAGTGATGGGCGCTCACATCAGGATTGTTTCAAGGATCCGATCGAATGGGAATTTGGCTCTGGGCAAACCGGTGACCAATGTTCTAGCTGTCTGGACCCTGAACATTCCCATGAAAATTGCGTCGCCCCAACATTATGGGGTATTTCTTTATGGGTAGTTTGAGGGTCCATGTGGTTGTCTGTGATCATCTCTGGCTCATCGCAAGGGAGCTTTCTCAAATATCGTCGCGGCCAGGTTCTGTTTTATACTCTTGAAGCCAGGTGTCTGAGGGTCCGGAAAATCGACCCTTAGGTCAAGCCTACTTTGGGACCCGTCGAAAACGGATTGGTTGTAACCCTGTCACCAAGCGCTTCCACTGCTGAATCTGCAAAGTGAATCCCCCCGAGGAATCGACCATGAAACTGCATGTGTTGTGCTCGGCGCAAGGCTGAAAGGCATAAGATCATATGGGGATGTGTTGAAAGGCTGGGTCAATGTTTATACTCTTGTTGTTGGATTGTCAAGTTGTTGACGTGTCTAGTTAGTGTTTGAAGTTGGCTTGCTGCATACAGGCTTTGTGTACTGATGTTTCGAGAGGAATAAGATTGGTTCACCTTGTCACACCCCGACACCTAAAAATCGTCCAAAAACCTCTCAAATGTAATCTATCAATAGCAGCAATCCGAATCTCGCGGGCTTCGCTGTTTCCTCGCGGCGCACTGAGGCAGGCTTTCTCCTTCTATTCTTTCCTGTCTCCCGCACCTTTGGCGCTTCCTTCTTGATGTCCTGGCACAAAATGTGTTTGCGATCCTATGGCCCAGATAAGGTGCGTTCTATGTTCGTGGGTGGCAGGGTATACTTTGACATAAGAATAACAAACAATGATAATCATAATGATGCGCTTGGTACTTACCGCAGAAGGGTACCGGTATGGATCCTGGAAGGGAGTCTAACTTCACATGGATCGATTCTGGGTCCACAAAGGTCCCAAGCCAACTTCCTGCAGAACTGCACTGCCCTCTGTTAGCATGACATGCAACTTGTATGAATTGCTTGTTCAGCCTCCAAACACGTTCCGAGCTTCCAACTAAAGAGCCAGAAAAAAATGAAAAACGAAGAAGAAAAAACACAATGGATGTGGAATCCTCTATCAGATAGGGAACCCTTGCTTTCACATAAAAAGCTGGCAGAAATCATAAGGAAAATGAGCATCTATACTTCATGAGGATTCCTAAAATCCACTCAAAACCTGCAGCGGTTTTGGCTGGTTGCATGAGGCCCTTCTTGGTGGCCTCAAAAGCAAATTGGACACCCTACAATTTTTGAACGCAAAGGGGGAAAAAACTGAGATGTAAACGATGTGTGCGGCTCCATGTCAACCTGACTACCATTCAAATGGGTTGGAGGTTAAAGAAGCCCATGTCAAACAGCCCTTAAGGTCGAACACCTGCCATCCCAACCATCCCCCTTTCCTGGATGGTGCAGAAACTATCACTAAAAACCTGAAAGCCTAAAACCTCCTGATTCGGACTGGGAACCATCCAACCGCGAGAACTGCTTCAGCGAGATCATTCAGCTTTGATCCGATCCAGGCGGGTTCGAGTCGAAGTTTTCAGGTGAAGCAAAGGGAAATGTCCAGAGGGTGCTTCTCTCCAGACACTTCGGACTTCGGGCCTATGTTACCACCTTCTTGGGGGTTTTAGATTCTCAGACTGGCGGAAAAAACAAAGTCCTCTAGGTGTCCATGGCATCAGATGCGTTGCCATTTTGCCAGCACGTGTTCCCAAACTTGTCCTGGGTCTCCACCTCCTTCTCAGGCGGAGGTCGCGAGACCGGGACCCACTTCTTGATCGGCTCACCTGCAGCATCTCAAGGGCCCAGGTGGAAAGCCTTTGGGCTTTCCCGTGGGCCTACCCCAAAATGGTATCATTGGTTTTGACCCACAGCAATATGCCCAGAGTCAGGGCAGTTTGTTTCCGTCCCCACAAAAGGGACAACGGCATAGAGGCAGCCCATTTCTTGCGGGTTGCCATTGGTTTTTTCGTGGGCCCCGACAGGACAAATCCTTTTTCGCCGTTCAGGTTCCCCCTTAGCGGGAGCGGGGTTCGAAAGCTGAGGCTATATGAAAGGATTTGTCTCTTTACAGGGGTTTTGATGCAAGGATTCATTTCGAAAAAACATATTCTGTATTTTGTGGGGGGGGGGGAGGGGTAGAGGATGTTCCAATTCAGTTTCTGAAGTACAGGAACAACCCTTAACCCCCCTCCCCAACCCGCAACACTTGGGGGCTTATGCCGGATGGAGACCATAGGCGGGAGTCGTGTTGCGGGAGGTTGTAGGGTGCTAAATCGATATTAGCGAAGGCTAGGATTCTCCCGCAAATCGTGACATTGGGCAAGCAAAGCCACCAATGTCAGCGTGAGCAGTTCGCCCCTGTTCCACGCTCGTTTACAGTGTGTGAACAGACTTTACTTGTGGCTGTTATGCCAGCACTACTGCAGGCTTGATGGTTCACCCGGACCTCCAAAGACCACAATTTCCCGTGGTAGCCGGCAATCCGGGGAAGTTCTTGCACGGTTTCAAGGGAAACTTCGCGTTCCACAAAAAGCGGAAAACAGTTGGACAGTTGGTGAGTGGATTCAACCCACGTCAGCCCCTTGAGATGATGGTGAACATTGATCGTTGCTCACTTGTGCCTCCAAACGTAGTCTATCTTCATGAGCCCAACAAAACATTCCCCGACCGCGAGTCTTTCGTGAGACCGATCAAATCTCCGCCAGTTTTCGGTAGCTTGGATGGTTCTTCGCTATGTGTTACAACCCCAAGCCCCAGTTGAATGCCCCGGTTCGGCCCCCCTAATCCTTGCAGCCAGGGTTACTACCAACCTAGGTGCCCAAATGACCAGTTTCTGTCCCGCAAAGGCCCATGTGCACCGGATCGATCCTGAACTCCAAGGACACCGGCATCGGAGACAAAAAGAAAAGAAAAAACATCTGGGGATTCCAAGAGCAAGTTACCACAACGGTGGGGGGGTGATCGTGGTCAGCACCACCCATGTCTGGAGGAAACAATCTGGTGGCAGCCCTTTCCTGGAAACTCCTGCCACTAGGAAAAGGTTGCTTCAGCAACATAGTTAAGCTGAGGACAAGGCAACTACCTTTTGGCACTCTGGGAAGCAACAAGATCATTCAGAGGGTCCAAGCAGTTGGAGGATCCTCGTATTGTCCAAAAGAAGCAAAAGGCAAGGCCTGGACCCCTCAAGCTCACCCCTCCCTCACCCCAAAGGGAAGTCGCACTTCTCCCAGCAACAGCCCTGGCAACACCCTGGGGCGTGGAAATCTTAGACAGCGACGCCCCACAGACCCGCTTGCTCACTACTGACTCACCGTTTCAACCAATGTTAAGTCATGGTCCAGGCTACCTAGGGACTTACCTTTGCTTGCCCCCCCCCCCCCCTCCGGCTTTTAGGAAATGCAGGCAGGGACCACCCCGCGGTTCCCGCTTGAACCCCAAGGAAAGGACAAATCTATTCAGAGACAACCCGTTCGCACTCGTCGCCATCCGTTCCGAGGCCAAGTTGCTTTCTTTGCTGCCATGTTTGGGCGGCATGAGCTACTATCGAGGGGTCTCATCTTGCATTGTACCAAGCTTGAGCCGAAGGCCAAAAGCCGAAGGAGCAGTGGACCCTTTTGCTTGCGGGCTTTTGCTAGAAGCCAGCGGTACCTGCCTAAGGTACATCCAAAGTGAGAGGTGGTTCTAAACTGGGCCCCCCACGCACCGCTTTTCAGGATGGGTAAAGAAAAACCAAAGGCAAAGCGAAGGTTTCGAGCGGTAGGCGAATCGGAGCGATTGAATTCCAAAAGCGCTGCCTGAGGTGATTGCCTCTGGGTTGCTTTACGGCCGAAATGAGTTTCAAAGGCTTGATTTGGGTGTGGGTCAAAATTAAGCCACCAGGGGACCGCAGGTTTTAGTCTTTGGTTCCATTTACCAGGGCAAGCCATTTTGGGCACAATTTTTTTGACCCACAGCCATTTGGATTGGCGTGGTTTACATTCCGCGCGGGCGCAAAAAGAGCCCAAGGCCCTCGAGGAATCAGTCGCCTTGAGGGTTCTTCGTTGGGTTGAAAGGGTTTGGGGGTCATGACCCATAGGAAAACCGTTAACCCAATATAGCTAGCGGGGAGTGATTTTTGCTTCCCATGTCGAACCGGTTGAAAGTTTCGGGTTGCACACCCGGTCCTTTTCGTTTGCTCCCCAACACCGGGGTCAGGTGAGTCACAAGAAGGCCAAAATGGATAGCTGGAGGTAAGGGCTTGGCTTGCGCCACGAAAAATGGCAGCTGTCTTCAGATTCTCGTCTCACAAGGAGACAAACGATTTCCAGTTGGTTTGAAATCATGATGTCGTTTGAGAGATCCCCGTCATTCACATGCAATGATGGGTGTTGGGTGACTGGGGTGCGGTTGTGGCTCTGCAGGCGAACCTAAATGCGCAGCTGTTGTCGAAACCATTGGTTTATGTTTGCACAACACCCCATTTGCTGGTAAAGGAGAGGTAGGAGCCGTAGGCAGTGTCAACCAAACAAATCAACCTACAAAGGCTGCCTGAATCGCAAGTAAGTGTTTTTGAAGATCGCTCGGCAACTGTGACACTGTTTAAGGCAAAGCGTCTGCAACAAGCAGCAATTTGGCTGTCTAGGTGCGTTTCGTGTTGGCTTCGACTCCATGAAAGGCTTGCGGAACGTATCGCTGGGATTCGCTCCGACCAGTGTGCATCCCTGAAAAAACTCAAGGAGGGCTTCTTCTGAGCCCCCCAATCCTTGTAGTCCACTAGAAACCAAACAACCACCACGTTTCTGTTTACAACCACCCACCAAAAACAACTCAACCGGAAATGAGAAGATGGACGCCCAAGTTAAGAACCGTCTCCAAGCCTGGTCACTCGCACTTTAGCCGGTATTTTTAACCACCGCAAGGGAAGCCGCAAAACAAGTCACTCATAGTCACTGTAGATGTGAGCCCAGTTCCTTTGATTTAATAAGGGTGCGTCCCCAATTCGCCTGCTCAGTGCCTGAATCCGGACCAACATTAGACTATGGTTTCTCTTCCTTTGGCTCACCAGAAATTGCCTGGCAGTGTCTTGTTGTGAGTGCACCCTTTCCGGTTTTGGTCTCCAGGGAAAACCGTTCCTCTCTTGTGCTGCGCGGCCCCCTGTTTTCCCTCGCTTCTCCGGGCCGATAACTCCGGCCGCCGATCATGGTTGACCCAGGATGGAGCACACAAGTTCTAAGGGCTTTATGTTTGGAGGCCTGGTTGTCCAAAGCACATCATTCTCCAATCAACAGCTGGGAGCTGACAGAGCCTGTTGAGGCTTTTCCGGGATCCCTTCGCACTTCCGCGCTTGCGGGTCGATCTCGACCGGAGCGGCGCTTCATGGCTCCGTCACCAAGTGGGGATGGGCCCCAGGAAAATGTGGGCCTCCTGGGTACGGACCCAGTGGTAGAACCTGAGCGACGTCCAGATTTATTTCGCCCTCCTAATCCCCAGCCTTTGGTTAGGACGTGGGTATGTCTTTGTGTGCAGTAACTTTTTTGGTGTTGCTGTTTTAAGAGGGGGAACAAAGGGAAAACCACCAGATCTGAGTGTTCCCATGTTCAGACAACCTCATGTCAACCCCTGACTCGAAGACTTGCGCGAATGTACAGAGCACGCCAAGGTTCAGGATATACTCGACTAAAAAGGGCATCTGGAATAGAGCGTGCCCAGATTTCCAGCCAAGTAACCCAGAAGCTTGAAATCGGGTGTTGGACAAGCCGGTGGTTCGGGAGTCAGCCCCAAATCAGTCGAACAGGGTTCTGTAAAGATCACCCCGCAAGCAGAAAAACCGTTTGAATTTGGCAAGCAGGTGATGCTTGAAACACCAGAAGAAAAACATGTAGGGCTTTGGGTGAACCGTGAACCAGCCAGATGATTCAAGAACATGGGCGATTGCTACCGGGAAGCCCGTCTATTTGGGTCTAGCACAAAGAACCACCGCTCAACTGAGGCGCGCTTAAAAGCCTAAGATGAAAATGCCCGAACCAAAAAATATGTGACTTCATCCCCGCCTAAGGTTGGGGTTCACAACATTGGGTCAGGGGCGAGTCATGTTAGGAAACAGGGGTCGTGTCAAGGACTATGCAAATGTGGTTTGGCGGCTTCGTGAGTAAGGAAACGGCCGTGAGCCATGAAACGGCCGCGGAAACAACAGGAAGAATGCGTCGGGAGCTGCGAAAGCTTTGGAGTCAAGTGAACAGGGTTTTGCGAGTCAGGAAACAGCGGTAGTCAGGAAACGACGTGGAAACGTACAGAACAGCGCCGGGGTGGTGTTAGGGCCGTTGTTCAGCTTCCCCGCTTCGTTCTAGGGCCGTTGTTCGGCTTCGCGATTTTTGTTTGTAACTGCGCATTTGTTCCACTAGTGCCTTGGTTTGTTTTTCTAACGGGGGGGAGGGTTGTGTCCACTCGGTAGGGCGTGCTCCTTGCCGCGCAGGATAGAACCCTGAGAACCAGAAAGCGAACGAAGTGGCCAAGGGCTCGGCAAAAGCCAAAATGTGAGTTTCCTACTCATTGTCAACACGGTGGCTGCGCCGGAGCATGGGCCCACGCACTACTCCCCACACGTTGACAAGCGCCCCGACACGGTCAATGGCTCAAAACAGCGGGACTACGTGTGGCGCCGCCGCACGGTTCGCTAAGTGCAACCGCCAACGTCGTCTTGAAGTCCCTGCACAACCGTTTGCGCATGGCCGCTTGGATGCACAGAACGCCAAAGAACATGGTCGCGCTGTCTGACCCAACTGCTCACACATCGCTGCAGTCTTTGCCAGATTCCAGATTGCCTCAAATCACTGCAGAGCTACCCTCACCAAAAAAAACTGCGCGAGGCGCACTGATCATGAAGTCTAGCACCACCCGCTCCAGGTTAACCACCTTCGGGATGACTAGCTTTCATGGCCCAAGCTGATCTGGGTGGACCTACTCGGCTTGGCGGGCTGCAGCATGGGCCAACCTGCAAATCAAAAGAGGTGGCCTGGCTCAGAAACCTGGGGTGGGACGTAAGCTGCTCTGACCAGAGTTGAGAAGCCTGCTGACTGGAGCCCTGCCTTCGTCAAGGAGGTACTGGCCAGTTAGCTAGCTATGGCCATGATTAACTAATATGCGCTAGTGGCTAAGAGATGCACTGGCGCGTGGGGCAATCGAGGCGGACTGGACGGTTGTGGTCCAGCCTGGTGATATCTGCCAACTAGGCTTCGCGCCAAAATTACCTTGCCCTGTCCGTCACATTCGCCGTGACATATGGCCTCCGGGTCACCAAGACGCCAAGGCGGCCAGCAAGACCAAGTGCGCCTCCTGCGAGCCGCACCTCCATCGCGGACACCACTCGACATGATCTGCTGACCCAACTACAACTGCGCCAGCGGCCAGAGTTGGTCAACACTCCTTGGGCAGGCTATGGCCTTCGGTCGCTTGTCCGGCGGGTTTGGGTGTGTAGGCCATGGCCATGGTTCCATAAAAGGGACCTTTTGCCCTGGGTTAACGATCACCCCTACCAACTGCAAATAAAGGAACTGGTCGTTTGCCCATGGAGGCCCAGCAAACCTCAATCCCATCGAACAGGGGGTTGAAGCTGAAGAGAAACACGAATGCGGGAACCGGAACAAATGCGTGGTTTCCCTTTTGGGAACTATTTCAACGCCATCGGAAGAAAACCCTGCGCCCCCCATGTCCAGACACCACTAAGCCCCTCCCAGAAATTTGCTGGAGGACCGGTCCTGGCAAGACTCCAACTTGGGGCTGGTTCAATCAAAAACCATTCCTTACTGGTTGAGCCTAATAACCACGGGCGTTGTGGACAACACGACATTGGGGGTTTGCTGGTTAAGGAGGGGGTTCCCATTTACCCTACAAGAGCCAGGGGTTCAAATCCCCAAATCGCCAAACTACCAGAGAGAAGCTACCAAGATCTTCTCAGCCCCCTGCTGGGCGATAACGTGCGTGGAGATCCCACGAGGCACCGAGAGGAAGAGCTGGTAGTCCGCAGCCATGGACACGTAGAAACACCTCAGCCAGAACTTGTTTCACTGGTGGTTTCCTTTGAGGGAAAGTTGTTTGGGGTTCATTCCCATATTTTCTATTGAGCACCAGCAAGATAATCAAAACCCGGTACAAAGAAATGGTCTACCCAGGTCCATGTAAAGAATTGAGCTGGCGGATAGCCGCACCTTTTGATGGTTGGGATCATTCCTTGCCAATCTTCATCTGCCCGGGTTTTCATTGTGGGGTCAACAAAACGGGGTGGGAAACAGGCGCCAGGATAGCCAAATCTATACCAAGGCCTCGTAAAATATACGAAGGCCTAGGTGCCCAGTAGATTCTTGCCAGTTCGGGCACTCTCCCGCCGGCCCACATGGAATCTAACTGTGGAGATCCTGGAAAACATGTTTGGTTCCATGTCAGTGAGAGGATAGACCCCCTTCCAGTCGCTTGTGCTTCCAGTTGCCGCGTTTTCTCTTTTTCCCTTGCTTGGTGGATTTGACGCTTGGGCATGACCTCGCCTCCAGGAATGCCACCATCACTCCGAGAAACATCAAACCAAACGCATCTGGTCTTGCCGGTGACCTTTTTTGGGAGCATCAAGGCACCAAAGGGATTGGCCAGACTACAAGAGTCCCCGCATCCCACTCGAGAGTTGCTTATTTACCTTCATATGCTGACCCCCGGATTAATAAACCTGTCTAACCTGTCCTATAAAAAGGGGGGGTGCTCCCCTCCAACAGTGCCAAAACCCAACCAAAACAGGACACCCCTCGATGAATCCACCAGGGGTTTGTTCAGCCGGGGCTCCCTTTGCATTGGTTTATGGGCCCAAAAGGCCGGCTTGGCTGCTCCAAACCCAGGCCCCACACTCGTGGTCAGTGGCCACACAGATCTGGCACGGCACCTGCGAGCGGAACTCGGGGCGGAAAGAAAAAGAAAAACGATCAAAACGGCAGAAAATGGGTGGCCTAACCGGGTGCGTGGTTTTTTCGGGTTCCGCCAGACCCCCAAAAAAGAGGTGGTTTTCCCTTTGAAGCCCCCTTAAGACGAGCCAAAAATGGATGTGTCTCTTTTTAGGCGTTTTGCCAACCTCCCCACCCGTCCACCCAAACCACAAGCACACCCTAACCCAAAAACAAGTCATTCACACCCCAACTACCCACAGCCCTGTTCACTCACGCCCCCCCCCAACCCCCCTTCGCTGCCCTGCCTTGGCACCCCGCAGCAGCTGACGGCAGCGCCCGTAGCTCCGGAAGAGCATCTTCACCCGGTGCCGGGATTGGTAGGACCTCGCCGGCCAAGGCGACGAGCCGCCGAGTCAAAGGAGGGCAATCAGCTTGGAGCAGTCCAGGTGGAAAGCCCGTTTGCACCAGAGTTGTTTATTCAGAGTTGTTTATTGAGCAAAAGATTCAATGGAGGTGTTCAGTAAGCCTTAAACCTTGGGTGTGGGCTTCACTTGGGATGCTCCCCGTTTTTTGGAGAAACACCCAACCTTGCACCAAGCTGGCCTGTTGAGACCCAATTCTGTTGGGCTTTGCCTGGCTCAACCTGAGGTTCCCTCGGGCCCTCGCAAACTTCCAACCACCCGACTTCCAAGAGCTGTCCTCCTCTCGTTTCTGGACATACAGGAAATCGAAGCCTGCTGCGCGCCAATTTTCGGGGTTGTTTCCAATTGTTTTGGTCCCGACGGGCAATCGTTTGCAGAAACTTGAGCTTGGGGTTCCCGATTCGAGCTTCGGGTTGGGCTTCTGTGGGTCTCCGGAGTCCTTTGGGCTCCTGGGTCCTTTGGGTGTCCTGGTTCTTCGATTCGGGGCTTCCCTGAAAACGTCTTTCGGGTTCCCCGGAACCTCTCTAAACGGGTTCCCCGCACTGAGCCCGGGGCTCAGCCACCCGCGAGGAGAAGTACTGCTGCAGCCCGGGGACGTAGTACCTGAGACGTGCCGCTGGATGTCTCGATCGAAACCAAACACCGGCGTGGCGCGGCGAACTTTTTGGAGTTGGCACCCTTGGGATTGAAAGGGAGAACAAGATGAAACCGACTATTTGAATTGGGTTCCCCCCCCCCACAGCAACACAAAACAAACACCTGTTGGAATTGGCGGTTTATCGACATAGGGCATGTTCCATCCCAACTGGCGCGAAGTGTTGGCCGCAGTACGTGTTCCACGCAACATTTGTCAGGGAGAACCACCGAAACGGCCCAAAAGCTGATTTTTCAATTGCGAAAAAGTTGAAATATGGTGCCCCATCCATGAAAAGCCTTAAGAATATGATCAGCCAAAATGCTGTGGGCCTAGCTTGGGCCCAACATTGTCCAACTTGTTGTGAGGAAGCCTACCCTGAATCTCCAAAGACATGCCCTTTGTATGGTCACCTTTGATCAGGTTCTTTTCATAGGTGCTCCTTCTTTTCAATTGGCGAATGATAATAGTTCGTGTGGCTCGAGTGTACGTGATGGGTTTCTCACCTGAAAGTTGGGGCGGGGAAGATGTCGGCTTTCCAGAAAAGTAGTTTGCGACCCTCAAAAATGAAAGGTTGATACCCTTGCACCACCTAGTCGCAGGTCAGCAGAACACTCATCTTGTTCTTGCAGGTTTACGCAAAAATCACAAAAGGGGCAAGGAATCAAAGCATCTAAAAATGCGACCGACGACAGTACCATGGATTGCTCTCGTCTTTTCTTAATCTCCTCTTCCCGTGCCACGAAAAACTCGCGCGTCCGGGCAAGTGGCGCAGCATGTATCACGCCCTCCAGCAGCCTGGCATTCGAATCTCTCCCGTGTGTGTTGCAGGGGGCCCGGAGAAGGCATTTCACCTCCACCTCTGGCCGTGCGAATCCGTGCGCAGGTTGAACTTATGACAAAGAATCGTCAACTTGATATAATCCTGCTGTGGGATACTTTGAATAAGATCGGAGCGCTCTGAAAAAAACCCATTCATTAGAAAGGCGATACACATGGGTGTCCCTGTTCAAGCCTTACATTTGCAAGTGTACTTTTTCCGAACATCCCATTGATCCAAAAAACGGTGGGACATCTCTGCCAGTGCCCCAATCTATTTTGATATGTGTGGCAAGTTGGCAACCAGGAGTTCCCCAGTTCGGGTTCTCAATTTATACATCACCATTTCTGTCAGTTCGACGTCTGGCCTTACTTCAAGGAGAAGCCCTGCTCCAAGCGAATCCAAATCCACAGCTTTCCAGCCGGAGGGTGGGGTCCTCCAAAAGGGCTGGGTTAAAAATGCCAAAGGCTATGGTTTCACCGGTTCTTCATGGGCTTCCCTTGATTCATGGGACTGTCTTGTTTTTGAGACTACCCCCCTTGTTGTGGGTTTTTCAAAGGGAAACCAAGAGGAAGCCACCGGGGCGGATAAATAACACAGACCCTCATTTCAGCCTGTGAACAAAACGGAGGAACCGCTTTCCACGACCCACAAAAACCCTGGAGATTGGAGATCAAACCGACCGGAAATGGCGAGAAAGAAAAAGGGAAACACCTGGCCTGGTGACATTCCGCAGATGTCAACACTTGTCTTTTGGACCGCAAGGCGCCTGGGACCGTTTGCTTATGCTCTTTCAGATTTTCAGGTTCACTAAGGTCAACCGTAGCACCCGAGATCCAGGGTTCGGAAGGAGCCAAATGCGTCGAGCCTTGTGAACGTCAGCCTCTTGGTGGAGGCCCGCCACCGTGTTTTTGTCCAGACACTTTGCCCCAAAACAGAGTCACAGTCGCTGGGGGAAAAAAAAACTGATCCAGGAGGGATGGCTAAAGAAAAACGTCGACACGTCCATTGGCACAAACAGCATATCACGTTGGATTCCCCTTTCAGTTTGGTTCTCATTTAGAAATTTAGCAGCGACTGAAAGTTCGGGCGACCCTGAATGGAAGTTCTATCAATTGGACTTCCATTTGGTTAAGACCCCTGGAAAAAAATATAATAAAAGCAATATGTCCAGTAGTGATGATTCCCTTTAAAAATCAACACGTGAAAACAACAAAGATATTCTCAAGCCAATGGAAGTGGAGTTCTGCGCCCGGTGCAAGCCGCCCCCTTTGGGTTCGGTTCGACTTCAAGCCGTGCCGGGGTCGGCTGCCACTGGCCCGTGCTTGGCACCTCGGAGCCGGTTCAACCCAAGGATTCGTTGGACGAATGGGTCTATTGATGCTTGTTGAGTTGGTACCACCTTTTGGTTGGTAAAGAGAAAGCAAAAGGGAAACCACCATTTTGGGGGACCCCTGAAAAAAGACACACCCAAATGATACTTCACAGACCAGATTCAAAAAACCTGGTACCAAGCTCGCTCGAGCTCTTCAAGACTTGGTCAGGAGCCTCCAAGGGAGACCCAAATTGGCAGAAACAAAGGGACATTCCAGACCTTCAAAGGATGTTCTGAATCTTTCAAGCGAAAGCACAAGAAGGTCAAGCTGTTCAACAAAGGTATTTAAACAAGGGAAACAAAATCCAGGATTGGTTGGCCAAGCAGGCCCGAGGCCCCTTTAATGGGAACCTAAAGCAGGTGGTTTCAGGAGACCCGGGTGAAAAAACATACTTGAACCAGGGCCTATACTTGATGGTATCCCCATCAAGTATAATTTTAACTTCGGAGAACAATCCGGAGGACCGTACTACAGGGGGGTCCGTTTTAGTAAGGAGTTGATCTTTTTCGGGGGTCCTCTACCAAAAGGTACATGAGTGGTTGAGCCGTTCAACTCGGCTTCTGACGACGCCATCCCTTCGAAAGTGACAAGGTGGGGGCGGGGATCCAAACATAGACAGGGGCCCAGGGGTCAAGAGGCATGCGTCTGAAGAAAGGCTGTGGTCGCCGTGAAAACCGATGTTAACAGAGAACCCCGTTCATCATATGCGGCTTTTGTTGGCCCATTTTTGCCGAACCGGCCTCCGTTAAGGATGTTGACACCTCCTTTCTTCCAACAACTTCCTCTTGGTTTTGCTTGGTCTAGAATAAAGTTGAAATCGGATTAATCTGGAGAACGCATGCCCCAACGATGCTCTGAATCGTCGCGATGAGCACAGGGATTCCCTCTCTCTCGGGATTTCCTTGGTACCATGGCAGGTTGTTTCCACAAGGTGCCACCCCCTGAAGTTCACCCCTCAAGTTGGGTTGTGGGCAGTGCTTGGGATTTGAACACGGGAAGCAGCAGTGGTTGTGTGGTGCTTGCCAAATTCTGATTTGACTCAACCATGGTCTTCATGCTCAAGTTCCAATTCTGTAATCGCAGGTTGCCTTTTGGTGCCCGGGCAATCCCTGCTGAGAATACAGGCTTTTGGTGTCTGGAGTCTCCAGGTATCGTGACGGTGATGTTAATTTCAAAGTAGTTCGGAGTCCGGAGGGCCCCAATGAAGTGGTGAAGCCAAGCTACTGAATCTGGGGCGCCGTTTTTCGGCATTGTTCAAAATCCTTTTTTCAAGATTGGCTTCTTAAGGAAGCCAAAGCAACAGCAGCCTTGACCATGTCAACATGGGTTTGTGAGGGTGCCTCTGTGAGCCATCGACCGCCCGAAGGTGCATCACTAAGGGCCGCCGCCAAGAGCGATCGTCGGAGTGGCAGTGGACCTGAAATAAGCCAAACGGAACGCGCCGCACATGGCCCTGGGCACGACTGGGCTGAACAGCTGTACATGAAATTGTTGAAACAGCCACAACCAATCTGCTCAAAACCTAAGTTTGGAGCGGGGCTGTTTGCTCGACGGTGCCCAGCTCAGGATGTTCTGGACCTTTGAAGGAAACATGAACTGGTCCGTCGCGATGATGTTGGGTTTTAGGGTGCCTGGGGTGTGGTTGTGACTCTGCAGGCGAACCTAAACCCGCAGCTCTTGTGGTCATCGGTGCCAAAAGGAGAGGTAAGCTGGCCCTAGTTTCTAGCACTGGAAACTAAAACCAGTCAGCCCCTTGGCAAACCAAATTCCTGGAGGCGAAACCAATCAGCCCCTTGGCAAACAAAATCTGGAGTCCTGGAGGCGAAACCAATCAGCCCCTTGGCAAACAAAATCTGGAGTCCTGGAGGCGAAACCAATCAGCCCCTTGGCAAACGAAATCTCGAGTTTCATAGGCAATCCCAAAAGGTGTTGCTTCCACTGAAACCCTGTGGACGTGTCGCCGCTCAGTGGTTCAAGCCTGTGGGCGGCAAGCCCAACTGGCCGTGAGATTTCAGCCAGGAACCAACGGGGAAGAAACCGAGACAAAGAAGTGCCGAAAGAGTTAAAGAAAGGTACTTCCCTGGTTTCTTCCAGTTCCTCACAGGAAATCCACCACCAGTTCACCTGTCCCCATTTTGATCCCCGACTGGTTCTCCACATACCTCCAAGCCAGGGCGTCGCTGCCCAGCTCCCAAGTGCGGCGGGTTCCGGGGAGGGAGCGGCCCGCGCCGGAGGCTCTGGAGGTCTTAGAGGGTCCCTCAGACCACTCCGGCGAAAGCGGCTGGATAGAAATCCCGGAACCTCCGGAGTCCGGCCAGTCCGGGCTTGCATGGAGCAGTTGCTGGGCTTCTGGGGTTCTTTGGGTTCCGAAAGGTTCGGGGGTCCATTGCGTAGAACTTGGACCGGTTCGCCTTGTCTCAACATGCGGAATGCCTTTGGTCTCCCACTGCCCTTGAAGGCATTCCGCGCCTGGACTTGCGGCAGGTGAGCTCGCCTGACGCCGCGCGGATCGGCAAAGTTGAGACGCCCTCTTGAGGGGTGTCCAAAAATGAACCCTGGGGTTCTTGGGGAAAACGACGAGCGAATCCGCCAGTTGCGGGTCTGTATGAAGGTCTGCGCTAAAGTTGGGCCACAAAGGACTTTGATGAGTTGGGCTACCTTGCCCTCCTCTGCGCTACTGTTGGGTGAAAGTAGATGGCACAATTTCTCCATGCTCGTTTAGTGGTCCTTTTCACCCACATGGAGGGCATTGTACCAATTACTTTCACATGGTAGAAAAGCCAACCTTGCTGCCTTTCTAGACACGTTGCCTTGAAACTCAGGCCACTCCAAATTGGCGGTTTGGATCAGGTGGCTTGGGGATTTCCCCGGCTTCTTCTGGAGAAAAATGAGACACCGCCCGCGAACTAACCTCCAACCCGCCAAACCAACCCACCCAACTGCAGGGAGCCCGAAGAACTTCACTCGGCGCCTTCTCCGCCAGGTCGATGGGGCTCACAGCCACCGCCTCGTCGATGCACTCCAACACCCCCGGCCTCGACGCGAAGAAAACATCGATCCATCGGAGCGCTTGCAATGGGCGTGTCCTAAAATAGGGGACCCAAAACATGGCTGGTTTCCTTTTGGGTTTCCCGGTTGGTTTCCGTTTTGGGTTTCCTTTTCTTTTGGGTTCCCTTTTGGCTTCCCTTTTGGTCTCCCTTTTGGGTTTCCCTTCCAAACCCTCCAAAAAGGGAGTTGTTCTCCAAAAGAAAGACACGGCCTGACAAAGAACAGCACCCAAGTAGAAATACGAGCATCCAGAAACAACCAAAGAACAGTTCCTGGGGCTCCCAGCTGTTGGTTTTCTGGTGCCTTCCCTTGGACAACTGGAAGCACACTCGGGAAATGGATCATCCCAAAGGGAATCCCTGAATGCCCAGACTGGAAATCTGGAAGCCCGATTCTTATTGTAATCCCTTCACAAGTCTCCAACTATGTGTACGTATGTATGTATATATACACATACATATACATAGGTATGCATATACACAAATGAGGAATCCCGTGCAGAATCCCTTAAGTTCCAAATTAAGGAATGTCACCACCACTATCCGCCTTCGTGCGGCCGAGGAGGTCTCAAGGAGTCTCCAAATGACCGGCCTCCTGTTCTGGAAAACCAGGTTTGCCCAGATGGCTTTCTTTTTGACCCTTCCTAGTACCAAGAAAACAGCTTCCAATTTTTTCCTGGTTGACCTCGCCACAAATTACAGAGGCAGTCTGGTTTTGTGAGCTAAGTCCCATTCCCATGATTACTGCACATGAAGAAACCAAGGGGTTGGCGCATGGAAAGGGAAAACAAGAAGGCCCCCTACCAGTTGACTTTTTGTTAAAGACATACTGACATACTCTTCTAGTTCCATAGGGCACCAACGCGGATTTCGGAAAATCCGGAGCCAACAAAAACCAAGCCTTCCCCATGTCTGAAAACAGCAAATGCGAAGCGAGAGGGGAGAGAAGCCGGATGAATAAACGCACCTCTCTTTTATCAATAGGTACCACGCCCGCAAGTGAGTCGGACCCGCATGAAATACAGGGCTCTAGTTGATCACAAGCGTGCACGGTGACCTCCCTCTGCTCTTGGCTGTTCGCGACTCCATTGCTCACAAATGATTCCAAGCTTTGGGCTCAACTCGCTCCCAAGCGGTAGGTCAAAGGAATGTAGGAAGCTCAACTTTCAAAACCCCAAGGGGAAAACAGTCATGGGCCGAATCCACTGTTCCTGGTGCCTCAACAAGTACAAGTTTGCGCTATTTTCTGTTGAAGCCCAGGGGTGGAAATCAGCAAGCGTTTCGCAACATGGGAGCACGGAAAACCCGTGTCAGGGGATGCTGTCAACCCCGGACCAGACAAAGAGGTATTTACCCCAACCGGCAACCGGAGTGTTGCAGACAATACCTCTCAAAATACATTTGAGGGCAAATCGACCAGGACCCTCCCGCAGAACGAGCCGAGACAGCCCAAGTTGCTGCTGACTTTTGGGCGCGCTACCCTAATAAGTGTGAGTCAGGTTGGTGGGGAAGAAGCTGGGGATCGGCGATCCAGCTGGAGGTTGACCCATCGAGGCCGGCACTGCCGCAGGGCCTCCTTCACCTGGTCGGAACTGGTCGAATCGGCCTGAAAAACGGGAATACGTAGCCTCCCCACGTGTTGGGCGGTGGCCCTTTTACAGGCCCTAAAAGTCTTGAATTCCACTGAAATATGTGTACACACATAATATATATATATATATATGATATGTATATATATATATATATGATATGTATACATGTGTGTCTGTGTGTGTGTGTGTGAGTGCACGCGCAGGGATATGGATATGGATGTCGGGCGCAGATGTAGATATAGAACAGCCCGAAAAAAATGCAGCCCAAAGTGGTGCCTGTGCGGCCCAGAAGATGCCCTGCCGAAAGCTCTTTCTGGGTTTTAACTGGGAGGGGAATGGCCCAAACCCGAAAGGATCTATCTGGCTGTGGGTCACAAATGGGTACCCTAATGGAACCCTGGTAAATGGAAGAATGGACCAAAACCAGCGGTCCCCTGGCGGTTTAATTTTGACCCATACCCATCTGGACATGAGGCGAAAGCCTCAGTCCGCAAAGTGAATAGCACCTGGCGCCTTTTGGGATCCCCCCAAGCAGGAGAACCTGCACGCGAAGCGCATGGCCAATGTGGAAGCGCATAGCCTTTTTTGATTAGTACCCCAATACCGCATGTTGGCAGGGGATCCGTAGGGCTTTTGTGGGAAATCCAGATCCATTTGAGTGGTCTTAGGGTTTTATGCAAGCAAGTTCAAAAACCCATTTGGATTTGTCTCATAAAGAGGACACACCCCTTGAACCCCTTTGCCTGGGTTGCCTACAACACGCTCCGCCGACCCCACGGATTTCGGATTGGATCTCGGCGATCGCGGGACCCGGGACCCGCGCCGCGGCGGCTTGCTGGGAGATGGCGTAGAACTGCTCCCCGTCCGAGGCGGTGGACAGGAACACCACCCCCACCTCCGAGCCTCACGTCGTACCCCGAACGCTGGCCCCAAACCAGGAGGAACCAAAAACGGGTTCATTGCCATCGACTCTCAGGTCCTGAACGAAAAGGACCACTACGCCTTATGTTTGCTTCTTTTTGATGGGAAGTCAATGGAAGCCAGCCGAATTGAATGGACGTTTGGGGCAGTCGATGGAGAACCCTCAACCGATTTTAGGGACCCTTGAACAGTCTTGGAGCCTTTGGGCAGGTTCATGTAGAAGGGTGCGGCACCCTTGAAATGACTGGGGTTTGCCCTGGTGTCCCAACCGGGCAAAAACAGGCGCCGACTCCAAAAACACAAGCGCACACACACACACACACACACACACACACTCACAGACACGCGCACCGGGTCAGGGAAACCGGGCCACAAGATGCGGGTTCTGCCCTGAACTTCCTGAGCCCTTCCACTCTCCCCCCCTCCGAAAAACCGAACTCAACTCCTTGCCAACCACACCAAGGGTGCCTGATGCCAAAATCATCAAAACCTGACCAAACGCTCGCTCCAAAAGTTGCTTAGCTTCCTAACGTCTCAGAGAGCATAGATGCTCCTGCGCCATCCGAATTGACGACATCCAGCGGTCGCAAACCACCTTTTGCGAGGTCCCAAACAAATGGAGGTTCCTCTGCGATCGGGACCCGAGTCGAATTCGTCCGGCACGAAGCCGCCTTCCAGGAAGGAGATGTAGGCGTACGCAAAGCCCTGCGAGTCTGCGAGGCTGCGACGTGATTCCCCGATCCGACTTGAAAGGGTGTACCCTGCCAAGGCTTGGCAAGGTGGCTACCTCTTGTTCTTTCTTTCGGGTGGCGGCTGGCACAAAAAAGAAGCCGCAATTGGCGGCCTTCCCCGGGATCGCAGCGATCCGAAACAAACCAAAAAATGAAAGCGGCCCCGCGGATCGGCGGACTGCATCGCCTTGTCGTTGTACTGGCTCAAGCACACCGGAGTCCAGGACTCGCCCGTGCGTAGCGAGGCGGAGGACATGATGATGTTCACCACCATGCCTGGCTCACACGGAGTTGGGTGTGATTGTTTGGGGGGATTTCAAAAATAACCCTGGGTTGGTTGGTTTGTTGGTGGGTCGGCCGGCCGGCCGGCTGGCTGGCTGGCTGGCTGGCTGGCTTGCTTGCTTGCTTGCTGCGTTTTTGTACGGTGCGTTTGATTGAGCTGGCTTTGGTGTGTTATATGAATTCACTCAGTCTTCAATCGTAATGTGGCTTCAAGCTCCCCACCGGAGAAAAGAAAAAAAACGACGGCCCTATAAGACTGCCTGCATGCATTAACCTTAAAGGTTGATCTGGGGAAACCGGGCCAAGGGCTCCGAAGGTTCATAAATGGTTTCTCGTCCGTGTACCCACACAAGGAAAAATGTATGGGATGGAGCTCTCCATTGCACCGCCCATTCCATACGTGACACATGACTGAGGTGGTGGAGATGGGGTTCCACTACATCTGCTTTTTTCCCAAAAGCATCTCTGATGCTTGGGTTCTGCTTTAGGTTTTCTCTTAAGGTGCCTGGTAGCGATACAAGCTGTGACGACGGAGATAAGAAGGGATTTCCATTTCGTTGTGCTGCAGACCGGGCGTGCGATGCCGGCTGGGGGTGCAGAGTGCAGACCGGGCGTACGAGGCTGGCTGGGGGGACGGCGGTGTGGGGCTGGCTGGGGGGACGGCGGTGTGGTGCAGACAGGGCGCGCGAGGCTGGCTGGAAACCGCCCGCGAGCGAGACTGGCGCGGTGGACGCTCGTGACATGCGGAAACTGCCCGCGAGCGAGACTGGCGCGGTGGACGCTCGTGACATGCGGAAACCGCCCGCGAGCGAGACTGGCGCGGTGGACGCTCGTGACATGCGGAAGCCGCCCGCGAGCGAGACTGGACCTGAAGCTGTCGAACTACAGCACCACGGCAGCCATGAACGGCTCCATCGCCTCGGCCAACAACGCCACGCTGGCACGGTGGCAGCCAACTACGGCCTCAAGACGGTGGTGGCGCGGTGGACGCTCGTGACATGCGGAAACCGCCCGCGAGCGAGACTGGCGCGGTGGACGAAGTGACATGCGGAAGCCGCCCGCGAGCGAGACTGGCGCGGTGCACTCGTGTCATGCGGAAGCCGCCCGCGAGCGAGACTAGCGCGGTGGACGCTCGTGACATGCGGAAACCGCCCGCGAGCGAGACTGGCGCGGTGTACGCTCGTGACATGCGGAAACCGCCCGCGAGCGAGACTGGCGCGGTGGACGCTGCGGAAACCGCGGCGTGGTGGACGCTCGTGACATTGGGAAACCGCCCGCGAGCGAGACTGGCGCGGTGGACGCTCGTGACATGCGGAAACCGCCCGCGAGCGAGACTGGCGCGGTGGACGCTCGTGACATGCGGAAACCGCCCGGGAGCGAGACTGGCGCGGTGGACGCTCGTGACATGCGGAAACCGCCCGCGAGCGAGACTGGCGCGGTGGACGCTCGTGACATGCGGAAACCGCCCGCGAGCGAGACTGGCGCGGTGGACGCTCGTGACATGCGGAAACCGCCCGCGAGCGAGACTGGCGCGGTGGACGCTGGTGACATGCGGAAACCGCCCGCGAGCGAGACTGGCGCGGTGGACGCTCATGACATGCGGAAACCGCCCGCAAGCGAGACTGGCGCGATGGACGCTTGTGACAGGCGGAAACCGCCCGCGCGCGAGGCTCGTGACAGGCGGAAACCGCCCGCGAGCGAGACTGGCGCGGTGGGCGCTCGTGACAGGCGGAACCCGCCTGCGAGCGAGACTGGCGCGGTGGACGCTCGTGACATGCGGAAACCGCCCGCGAGCGAGACTGGCGCGGTGGACGCTCGTGACAGGCGGAAACCGCCCGCGAGCGAGACTGGCGCGGTGGACGCTCGTGACATGCGGAAACCGCCCGCGAACGCGAGCGAGACTGGCGCGGTGGACGCTCGTGACATGCGGAAACCGCCGCGCGAGCGAGACTGGCGCGGTGGACGCTCGTGACATGCGGAAACCGCCCGCGAGCGAGACTGGCGCGGTGGACGCTCGTGACATGCGGAAACCGCCCGCGGAAGTGCGAGCCGTGACATGGCGCGAGCGAGACTGACGCTCGTGACATTGGTGTGTGATTCGGAAACCGCCCGCGAGCGCTCGTGACACGGGGAGCGAGACTGGCGCGGTGGACGCTCGTGACATGCCGGCGACAAGACTGGCGCGGTGGACACTCATGACATGCGGCAACCGCCACGTGCGCGGCTCCATGTGAACAGCCCGGCGCTCCAGGTACGCCATAATTGTCCTTTTTGCCGCACAGCTGACCCGAAAACACGGTGCCAATGTGTTTCTAGGACAAACCGTCTCTTCAGAAGCTGTAGAAGCTGTAGCCTCTTGGGGTTCGCCCTACTTATTTGGAAGCAGCCTGGAAGCACGTTGACATGAATATGCTGAGCACACTCGGCCTAAACAAAAGGGCGCATGAACATCCGAACAGCTGACCCCGGTCTATACGCAGATCGTGGTAACACTGTGTCTCAGACTTGTTTCGGACAGGCGTCAGACCCACCAGTGACCGAGGCTTGTCCACACCGAGCCCCCCGCAAAAGCGCAGCGCCGGCCCCGTCTCCACACACCTGCGGCGAATCCACCCAACTTGCCATCCACACGCATCCAATTGACAACGTGCGCGGCCCTTTCCACAAAGTCACTTGCAATTGGTTGCGAATGGGAAAATAGGTGGAGAAACTAACGAATCCAAGCAAGCTTACGAAGCAAGTTTGTGAAGGCCACGTGCACGGCTCCATGTGAACAGCCCGGCGTTCCAGGTGCGCCAAAATTGTCCTTTTTGCCGCACACCTGACCCGAAAACACGGTGCCAATGTGTTTTTAGGACAAACCCTCTCTTCAGAAGCTGTAGCCTCTTGGGGTTCGCTCTACTTACGTTGACATGAATATGCTGAGCACACTCGGCCTAAACAAAAGGGCGCATGAACATCCGAACAGCTGACCCCGGTCTACGCAGATCGTGGTAACACTGTGTCTCAGACTTGTTTCAGACAGGCGTCAGACCACACCGAGCCCCCCGCAAAAGCGCAGCGCCGGCCCCGTCTCCACACACCTGCGGCGAATCACACCCAACTTGCCACCCACACGCATCCGATTGACAACGTGCGCGGCCCTTTCCACAAAGTCACCAGTTGCAATTGGTTGCGAATGGGAAAATAGGTGGAGAAACTAACGAATCCAAGCAAGCTTACGAAGCAAGTTTGTGAAGGCCACGTGCACGGCTCCATGTGAACAGCCCGGCGTTCCAGGTGCGCCAAGATTGTCCTTTTTGCCGCACACCTGACCCGAACAAATGGCGCCGAGTCTGTGGCCTCTTGGGGTTCGCCCTACTTATTTGGAAGCAGCCTGGAAGCAACGTTGACATGAATATGCTGAGCACACTCGGCCCAAACAAAAGGGCGCATAAACATCCGAACAGCTGACCCCGGTCTACTCAGATCGTGTTGTAACACTATGTCTCAGACTTGTTTCAGATGGGTGTAGAGCGAGCTTATGCTTTGCTTCCAAATCGGGAGTGGTAGTTTGCGCGGATCCATTTTCGATTTCTGCGATTGGTTCTTCGTGATGAATCGGATGACTTCGTGCCTTCCATGTAGTGCGGGGCCTGTCATGTTTCACCCGTGCCTTTGCCTTTCTCTGTGCTTGGTCAGAGCACAGGCTGCTGGCTGCCAATCCGGCTTGAGTCGCGGTTGCTCCCCTTCTTCATGTATTTTGGGGTTGATTTCCCAACTGTGAACAACTTAAATCTTGGTTTGCCTTCGGACCCTTAAGCCGGAAAACAACGGGATCCACATGCCATGGGGAGTGAGGCTGGTTTGCTTTTGGGTTCCCGGGCTCCTCTTGTTTGTAGGGAAGCTTCCCATTTGGCCACCTAAGGTCATCGCCTTTTCCCGGCTCAAATGGGTTTTGTCATCGCCCAATGCGACTGGACTCTGGACGGTGTTCACCCCCTCTCGAACGCATCTGAGAAAGTTGCTCCCAGGATCGTGGCTGGGTGACCTACCCAGCCAAATACCTGAAACTCTTCAGCTGACACCTTCACATGGATCGAATTCTACTTGGGGACCCTTTTCTCGACACCATGTAGGTGAGGGGATCCATGTCCACCAACCACTTTGGAGGGGGGTTCCCTATCAAAATTCATTGCCACATTCGCAAAGTTCAGAGATGACCCAATGGTTGGCTGCCTGGCTGTCTTTAAGGGGATTAGGTATGTGTCAACTCGACCCCTTCGTGGCCCACTCCAACCCTTCTACGCAAGAAAGAGTTTGGTGATCGTGTTTCACGTTCGCAACCTGCTTGATCTACAAAGGTATGCCAAAACATGGTCAATTGGAGACCCCCACCTGAATGATGTCCAAAAAAAACTCCACGATTAAAATTCATGGCCATATGTGGACATCTTCAGGTACCATCTCGCCACAATGCAAATCCCCCTTCCTGCGGGGTCTGCCCGCCTAGATCTGAGGCACTCAAGCGATATTGCCTGCCGCTCGTGGCTCGCGCGCAAGAGCGCTCGAGTCACTGTTGGCCACACCCACCTGAAAGAAGGAACTCGCCCTGAATTAACAGACATTCTGCGCCAGCTCCTGTATCCTGTGTTGCGTGTTGGATCTTTTCTTGCGGATGTTTGAAGATGGCGACCCTGCACGAATTGTTCAACCTGAATTGTGGAGTTGAATCCCTCCCTCAGAGATCGTCAGTGAGGTCGTGTTGACGCGTGAGCTGACTAGTGCAGACCCATGGAACATGGAGCCCCCTTCCACGAGACCATGGAATGTCCATCCCTCCCCCTGGCACCCCAAAACCCGATTTCACCAGGATGTGTCCCTGCAAGAAAATTGTACTCAACACGTTATATTCCTGAACAAAGGAGTAGAACACCTCTCCCAGCGGTTTCATCCGCTCCCTTTTGCTGCACCGCAAGGGGCCCCAGAAACCCCCCCTAAACTCAGCCACCCAAGTTCCGCCATCCTCTTCCTGAGATACCCCTTTCCGTTTCCTGACGCTTGCCCTTCCGCTCCAAAGACCCGCGTGTTTCAACGCCGATTTCTCAAAACGAGGGTATGCAAGGCAAGTACCTCCTGAAAAGACTTTGGGTGAAAGCCTCCCAGTTTTCGTTCGGGGGTGCCAAATCATACCCCCCGCCAAATCGACACACAAGAAGGTCTCTTTGGGTAGGCACCTAGCAGTTGTCAGGAAATATGTGGGGACGTGTTTCCCGAATGGTTCTGGGAAATCACCCCACGGCGAAAGCAAAGTGGGATTCCCATCCCTGTGACGGCTAAGAGGGATTCCCGCACCTGGATCAAATTTGTGACTAAACCACCAATCCCAACTGGTGCCTGGCGTGAATGTTGCCCATCCACAGTCTTACGGGGGGGGGGAACAAAAAAAAAGTTAAACCCCATGGGTTTATGGTGAAGTCTAAGGTTGAGAGTTCTCCCCCCCCCCCCCCCAATCATGCCACTTCCTTTTGGGGAAGCCAGTTGTCCAAGACCATGGTTGCTGGAAAGAAAGAGGGTCAACTCCTCTACTCCCAGGCAAGGGTGGGAGGGGGGGGAGGCTATCCCTGGATAATACCCAAAATAGGCCCCCCAAAAAACGCCTTCTTAAGGGGGTTGATAAGGGATAGCCCCCTCCAGGGGTCCATGAACCCAATGGCTCGATTTCTCGCTCCAAGCCGGGCCAATGGCCCCACCTGTTGGACACCGCCGCCAGGATCCTGTGCCCGGCCTCGGATCCATTCGCGGAACAAAAATGGCACCTGTGACGGCCGACTCCCAAAAACGACCTTTCGCATGCATAGAAACATGTCACAAACATATGTGTGTATATGTATGCGCACACATCCTTATATATATATATATATATGTTCCAGGCCGTGGACCCCCCCCCCCTCCCCCCCCCAACCCCCCCCCCCCCCCCTGTGGGGGTGGGGTGGGTGGTGGGGTGGTGGTGGGGTGGTGGGGTGGTGGGGTGGTGGGGTGGTGGGGTGGTGGGGTGGTGGGGTGGTGGGGTGGTGGGGTGGTGGGGTGGTGGGGTGGTGGGGTGGTGGGGTGGTGGGGTGGTGGGGTGGTGGTGGGGTGGTGGGGTGGTGGGGTGGTGGGGTGGTGGGGTGGTGGGGTGGTGGGGTGGTGGGGTGGTGGGGTGGTGGGGTGGTGGGGTGGTGGGTGTGGGTGGGGTGGTGGTGGGGTGGTGGGGTGGTGGGGTGGTGGGGTGGTTGGGTGGTTGGGGTGTGGTTCGGAGTTGGTTGAGGCTTGGTGGGTTGGTTTAGGGTTGGTTCAGGGTTGGTTCAGGGTTGGTTTGCGGTGGGTTTCGGGTGGGTTTGGGGTTTGGGTTGATTTAGGCTTAGGGTTGGGGTTAAAGGGTGGTTTGGTTTAGGGTAGGATGTTGCGAGAGGTGCGGGGGTGTTGGTTCACGGGGTGAAAGGGGGTCAGCATCCCCAGCAATGCCAGCATCATCCCCAAGATGCGGATGATGCGGGGGAGTGGGGGGACCATACCATTGGGGGGGGGGGGGGTACGTGGCCCAGGGACTGGTACATATATATATATATATATGTGTATTTGCAGCAAAAACACATGCATGCGTGTATATATATACATATATATATATATATATACAGTATGCACACATGATACCTCAACAAAAACTCTCCTGGCATTTACAGCATGTTCAAGCTTTTTAACGCCTCAGGAGAACATACCGACAGTCTGGCAGTCCGTGTCTGTCCACACAATACAAAGTAGAAAAACAAAGACTCTATACCTCCCAGGAGAAAGGTTCAGGGGATCCACGTTGGTGGAAAACCAAGATCAGCACGACCAAGCCATACACCCGGTCCACTTTCCGGAGCCGATTTTTTTAAATTGGCCATAAGGTTTTGCCATAGATCCCACCTTTGTTCCAAGATGGAATGACCGCTTGTATATCGGGGTGACATGCATTCCTCCCCGCCCGCCCCCCCCCCCCCCCAGAAATGTTAAACCAACAGCCCTGATCTGGATTCAACTTGGATGTGTTTGCAATTCATGGTTGCCCTCATGGAACCCATGAGGGTCTGTCCGTTGGGGTCCATGGAGCCCTGAATTTGGCGTCCTGGCGTCCGCAGATTTGGGGAAAACCTCGGGAACAAAACAATTCCAAGCTGCTTGGCCTTCGATCCCCTGCAAAGAGGCTGCTCTGTTGAGCCGTTTTGTTGAAACCTTCTTTCGGTCGAACCAAACCGGCAAGCCAGGTACTACGCCGCGCGGAAGCTCCATCCCATGCGCCACCACCCCAGGTTCCCATGTTGCCGCTTCCTGCTGCGACTTTCACCGGGCTCCTGGTCGGAAACCACTTCCACCTGGCTCTCTGTCGCAGCAGTGGGTTCACCGGACAACGGCCGGGCAAGGCCGGGCTTCCACGCCATCAGGAAGGCGAAGAGCACGTTGGGCAGCCGAGCGTTTTTCAGCGCCTCAGCGGCGCAAGACGTGGGAAGACTCACGGCCTCGCGTTCCAACTTTGGGGGTTCCCCATGTGGGCCCATCAGGTGAACCTTTTCCGGGGTCCCCAAAAACACTTGGGAAAAAATGTTCTTTTGAGGATGTCACTTTCATGAACCCAGTGAAAGGGCAAGAAGGAGTGCATCGGTTCCTCCCCTTTCCCTCCCTTCTTGAACGAAATCTGTTCGTGTTTTCTTTTCCACTTTCCACCAAAACGACAAGGCCTCAAACCCCCCCCAAAACAAAAAGCCGCTGCGCTCCACGAAGCCAAAGGCCTCAAGCCCAGCAAACCCGGGGGCCCGAACCCGGGCGCGCGGAAGCCCCACTGCGCCGCGCCTCCAGCGCGGCGGCGCGGGTGGCGGGGGCCACCACCAAGGGCTCGAAGCCCTCGCACTGGAGGGTCATGTCCTGGGAGGTTTCGGTTTCGAATCGAGAAGAGAACCCGAGAAAATGCCGGAAGGTTTTGGCTATCTCCGTCCATGTTCAAACAAACTAACCTGAAAAAAAACACCTATGGCCGTCTATGTTCAAACAAACTGAAGCCTATGGCCATCTATGTTCAAACAAATTGACCCACCCAAGGCCACTTATGGCCATCGATTTTTCTCCGCCCACTCGTCTAAGGACACCGGACCGATCCTGAGAGCGGTCCGAATACAAAAACACATGGGTGGCAGTGGTGCTGGTTGTTGAGTCGAAACCACGCCTCAAAATATTGACAAAACACCTGCTGAAGGGCGGCTTAGGAGTCATTGGCTTACCACAAGAAATCTGGATGGGCTCGTAGTTTTTGCAACAGGATGTGATTGGCTATCTACTCCGTTGCTCCTTGTCGTTTGCGCGTCACCCACTGGAACAGCCAAAAAAACACGATGAATATTGACGTCATCCTCAGATGACCTTAACCCTGACAAAGATATCAGCGGTTTGTTCGAACAAATGTGACTTTCAGGTCAAAACAAAGGATTGCCCCAGTCACCCCACCCAGGTACCCAGGTATAGGTGGCTGCTGAACAGTTGTCAGTCTGTATCCAAGCTTCTAAGGTCCTTAGGCCTTTGGGGGGGACCCTCCTAGAAACCTATTTGACTCTGCGCCCCAGATCCTGCACGCACCACCGGATCATGTTGTTCACCACGTGCTCAGTGCCTCGACAACACGATGCAACAGTCGAAAGTAAGGCGAAGACTCTCCATGGACCAAACCTACGGAGCTCTGCCCTTCGTTTCTTGTCAAGATCGAGTGTATCTGTTGTGCACGTGGTGTTTGTGTGCGTGTGTGTTGCCTTTCCTTTCAGAGCATGTTTACCATCTATATGTGTGTATATATATATATCGCCAAACGGGAGCGTAAACATTCACCGACAAACAACACGAAACTCGCAAGCCAACCTTCATGTCAAATGTGTGAGCTCGTAACCCACCTGGGTCAAAGTCCAGATTCGCTAAGAGCATTGGCCGTAGCCATATCATGTGCTCATCAATACCCCTGAGACACCGGAGTCACACAAAAGTAACTCTAACTCACTCACCCAACTTGTACCCTGTGGCAACCGTTTTATGCCAACTGGCAAACACAACTCAAGACGGTGATGGTGGTAGTGGATACGCAAGGCGTAATCTAGTATTATCGAATCACGACCACCAATCCTACGGTTGTAAGAAAGGAAATCATCAAAGAAAAACAAGACTCTGGCAACAGATAAAGCGTTCTGTCTGTAAGATCTACATGGACCAACCGCGCCTCCCAGCAACCCCCTCATGTCGTAATTCGGCCGGTTCAGCAGTGTCTTCTCCTGAGCTCACTACTCGTTGCCAGAAGAAACACTTGGTGTGTGTGTCTTTTCTAGGGAACCGCCAAAATAGTGGGTATGTCTTTAGGTGTCCCTAGGAAGCCACCTAAACAGGGGGACCCTCAAAAAGACACACCCACTTTGGAGGGTTTGACAGAAAACCAAAGATGGGCTTGTCTCTGAAGCGGGGAACCCTGGCTCCAAAGTGCGCGTTTTCCTTTTGTTTCTACCCCAAAACAGCGTCTACTCGAAAACAGCGCGAACAAAATACTCTAGGAAAAGGCGCCGCCCCAAAGATACTCTCCTGAAAATCAAAATGGAGCCTACCAAATGACCACCAAATATCACTCCAGGGGGAAGTTACGCTTCGACGAAGCCCTCGTTGGGGGTCCACGTGGATTCCCTCGATAAAAGTGGGTTCTCCTTCCTCACACTGGAAGATAAATTTCCTCTTGAAGGGACCTCCTGTGGGACGAATGTCGACCGTTTTTGGGGCGGAGCTCAAAATACCAGGCCATTTCCCTCCACCAAGGTGGCATACTTCAAAGCCTGCCACTCAAGAACTCCCAAACCCTTGGAAAGAATCGAAAGGGCGGCCATCCACACCGATCTGATCTGGATTGGGCAACCGGCCGCAAAACAAATGTCTCACTTTTAGCCAGTCAGGGAACCGTCATTTTCCAGGTTAAAATATTCAAAGGTCAGAAGTGGATCAATCCAATAGAGCCGGATCGTTGCTCTTTTTTCCAGATGCTTTACCCTAAAAACAGTCACAAGCCGGGGAAAAAGCCAGCAACTGCTACAGGTGGCTTCCATGCAGAGACGTCCGGAGCTCAACCGCTTGGCTTTGAATGGATCAGTGTTTCACGCTCGCATTGAGGCAACGAAAACCACAAGCCACGAGAGGCGCGGAGATCCGGTTTTGAGCCTCATTTTGGGGTTACCAACGGGTCACATGTTGCCTCCCCCCCTCCCCCGGGATTTCGCGGCTTAAACCCCCCCAGAAAAAGGGGTTGCAAGTGAATCTACAGCCCGGAGCCATGAAGATCCCGTCACGAGGGCTCAAAGAACCCAAGGGACTCATTTGTTCCTCTGTCCTTCCCGCTGTCCTTCCAATGACGGGAGCTGGACTCTTCCAATTGCGACAAATCAGGGCAAACTAGGAGGAAGCAAGAACTAAGAAAAAAACACCTTTGCCTCCACTGGCGCTATTCTGCCAGTATCAAAGTCACCCCAAGTGGTAGATTTGTTGGAAAACCACCAACCAGGTTCCGATTTTGACAACCCCCAGAAACGGTCAAAAAGCTCATCATTCATGACCCCAGCTTTATCTTGGGCGAAATCGCTGGCTCGACATCGAAGCGGGTTGCTGCTGACAAACGAAGCAGTTTTTGCCTTTCTCAACGCCGGGCAGCGATGCCCGCAGTGAGGATGGTGATGATCTGCTGGTGCACGTGCCTCGGCCAGAAAAGCACTGAAAGAATAGACAGGCCGGCACTCGGCGAAAACAAGGAGCTGTTAAGCTGCTAGCACAGTACTAAAAGCATACAAATGTGTGTGTGTGCTTTTCAATATCGGAACTATAACCAAGGCTTATTAGGCCTCAGGCTTGCCCGTGGACTTGCGACGGGACCATTTCCCTACCGCAATCTCTTGCCAAAGGTCAAGGGGACAATGGCCCAAACTCCCTGCCGGGGGTCACTCGATTTCCCACCTTGGGTCAGTTCAGAGAAAAACCCAATGAGCGCCCAGTCAAAATCTGTGACTTGTTAAACAAACCAAAAAACACCCCTGTTAGGATCCCGCACCCCCTAACGTTCTGGTCTCATTTTCGGAAAATCTGGGAGGGGGAGGGGGAGGTTAGGACCCCCTCCAAAATATTCACATGTTGGGCATGTTCAAGGAAATTCGGGGTTGGCTTTGGGTAAATACATCCTTTGGAATGGTTGACCTCATACCTATAAAACGGTACTTGGAGCAATTAACGCCGACCTCACCAACATCAAATGCCTGATACGACTTGTCAGCCCAAGCCATTTGCGGGGGCTGTGACTTGCTTTGGGATATCAACATGCGGCTTTTCGTCCCTCCCATATGGAGGCTTTTCGTTCCTATGCCCAGAGGGAGAGATCCAAATGGAGCCGTTTCGCCCCAAAAAACGCCCGCCAGGGTCCTTTCGGAGAAATGGTTCCACGCATGTGCAGGATCAGGATCTTGTGGGTAGAACATGCTTCCAAATGGTTTGCCGTTTCGGCGGCAGCCAGTTGGTCGTTTCGGAGCCCCGACCTTGGAGGTCCTCTCTCAGTCGCTGGAAAACTCGATAAAAACAACAAAACAAACGCTCACCCGACCCACCGCAAAAACACAACAACATGACGGCTATGTTGAAGCCGTGATGGATTTCGAACATGAGATATGGGTCTGTCTCCTTTCTTGGTTCCCTTTTTGGGGTTGGTTTAAAGGGAAACCCACCATTTTGGGGTCCGATTCCTAAAAAGAGGCGAGCCACCCATATAGTTGAGCATTTGGAGGTCTCACAAATCACGGGACCAGACTCAATTGCCCAGTGCTATCCAACATCTTGAAAAATAGGTCCAGGGGTGCCGTTGCGCACTCCCCCGTTCTCGGGAGCAGTCCTTTTTAACCCCATTTCGGAAGCGCTTTGCGCAGACCGAGGGTGTCCTCCACCCCGTCTTCCGACCTCCCGAGATGGGCGGCTCTTTGTTCCTTTTGCTGCAAATACCCGCTGTTTGGACTTTCCTCTTGTGTAAATCCCCCCTTTTCGCCGGACCAGCAAGGGCAGCCCAGCGGGAAGTTGGCTGGTCATGTGAACTGTTTTTTGAACAAACACCTTTTGCGGCCAGGGAAACACATCTTGCCCAGCCCTCGCTTCAAAAACGGGGCCCAGGGCCTGTTGTACACACAGTTCAACCTGCCAAGTGCAGCACTCGAGGAGGCTCACCATGTCTGCGTAGGTGTCCCCACTGCTGGAGAAGCACACCAGCCTTGGACGCCATCCCATTCGCTAACAACTAGTCGGTCACAACTAGGTGAGTTGGCTGAAAATGTGGTGTAAAAGGATCGGATGAAAGATGTACATGTACAATGTGTGTTACACAATAAATATATATATATATATATATATGTATATATATATATATGAATTACATACATGTAACTATGTTTTTTATATGGTCAATTGTACATGTACTATATATATATATATATATATATTTGTTATGTACATAAAAATATGATTTCCACACCTTAACTGGATGGTAAGCCGCGCTGTTGAAAATCAGGGTCGTCCCGTCCATAGCACAAGCATGGGCCGGTCAAGAATCTACAGGCATATGAGTCTGTCTCCAAAGCGCTTTCCGTGGATGGGTTTGACCGGACGACACAGAGCATGTGCATGGAGTCCCTAATTTTGGAGAACGACACCTCCAGTGCAAATCCGCAAAGCATACATGCTTCGTGTTCTGCAAGTGGACCCCACCCACCACCCACTCCGTAATCACCCCAAAAGAAAGGCGTATCCACGCAAAATGGAATGTAAGCGACAGCCTCTTTGCCCCATGAATTCTTCAAAAGCATGGCTAGAAAAACTTTTAAACGTAGAGAGCTTCCACGATGAGAATACTCAGGTCTAAAATAGGGGGAACTACAAGGAGCCAAAAAAGAAATGGGTGCGGATTGATTTTGGGTGTTGTGTTCGCTTTTTGTTGGGATTTGTCGTGTTTGTGTGGAAACATAGAATGCAGTTCCTTTGTTACTCCCGTCGCAAACCAAAACTGCTTGCCCAAATAGGCTGTCTGTCTGTCTGTCTGTCCGTCCGTCCGTCTCTGTCTGTCTGTCTGTCTGCTTGCTTGCTTGCTTGCTTGCTTGCATGTTTGATTGCATGCATGTCTGCCGTATATCTAATTTGTTTCTATCCATACATGATTCGTATGCAAAGAGACAATCCGTTGCACTAAGGCGGCTGTCTGTTCGTCGACTCCGAGGGGCCACAAGGGGCCCTTCTCCAAGAACACGAAGACGTGCTCGCCCGCCAACATGTACCTGGCAGGCGTTCTGGCCACCTGGAGGTTTTGTCCAAGGAGAGATTCCTGGTAATAAGACACCAGGCACTTGAAAAGGGGCCTGAAACGGGGGGTGCGGCTTGAATTAGCCGGGCTTTTCACAAAGGGGGGACGCTCAAGAGGGTGCCCAACCACTTAAGGCAGGCGTCCATTTGTAGCTCGCCAACAGGTGTCAAGGCAAAGCCCGTTCCGAACAAACACAGGCTGAACGAACCAATGAGGGGAGCCACTGCGAAAGCTTCCAATAACCTGACAAATTCTTTGGGAACGGATGCAAACTTGGACACCCCGCTGGGATCCCAAAACAAGCAGCCAAAATAGACCTGCACCTTAGCTCCTATTTGGCACTCAGCCCTTGTTACTGGGGCCTCTTCACAGGCCCTTCCTAGATCCGGGACAACTTCTTTCCTAAGGAAGGGCTCCGAGCACCGGGATGTTTCGAGTCCTGGAATTTGGGGAGTGAGTCACCTGAGCAAAGTTGGAAACCATCCTCCCACGACTTCCCACGACTTGGATGCAGTTGGGGGTGGGACCCCCCCCATCTCTGGTGGAGAAAGTCGGGCGCGCTGCCCCCTCAAACACCACTGGTGGCGATCGAATCAAGTCGGAGTGGAATCAAGCCTCAAGCAGTCCGCAGAAGAGGCGCCGTTGGTGAAGAAGAACTTGGCCATTTTCGACCTGACAAATACCAGCACGTATGTTTGAGGAACGATTCGCCTGATTAGCCGTGACTTGAAGGGGAGGCATTTTTGCCCAAAGGAAACCGTGGCCTTGTACCCAGCCACGGCAAAAAGCTAGGCCTGTTGCCTTCAGATCCCATAGAAGGTTAAAACCTCTTCCCAAAGCGCTTGTGGGCTCCTGACCCAAAGCGTCAGTCTTAAGGCTCCTTTTGCCATCGCTTCTTTCCCATCTGCCCTCTGGTGACCTGTACAGGGTCTCCCTGGCTCAAACGCCGGAGAGAAGTCAAGGGGTCTAACAGAGATCCCTGAAAGAAGCATCGCATCGTAGCCATTGAAAATATCTCGGAAAGTGGCTCAACTTCCTTCAAGAACAGGCTGTGGGGCAGTGTGCCCGGAACAAAACTCAGAGAGGTTGTTTAAAAACAGAAGTGCCACGGCAACACGCGGCGAACGACTCATCTTCGAACGCCCGGCTGGCCAAGAAACCCGCCGCACTGAGGCCGGAACACAATGGCCGACAGAGCTCCAGTGGTTCCGCTGAGCCCATCCTGCGCTTTGGATGACCTTCATCAAAGGGAAATTTGAAGGGAAAACGAACCCATCTGTTTCCCTAGCAGGCGCTTGTCGCTGTGTGCTTTCTGGGGGTGGGCGTTTGAAAAGGTGGGCTGGTCGAAACTAGGGGAACACACCGAATGGTCGGCTTCATGTGGGTATGGGTCAGAATTAAACCACCAGGGGACCACAGGTTTTTACCAGGGTTCCATTTTGGGCACCTATTGTTGACCCACAGCCATGTGCTTGTCCGAAAAAAACCAAACGCTTCTTCACGGAAAACCTCCGGCAGTTTCAGTCCTCCTCCCCGTAGCGCGAATAGACCGGCTTGCCGCTGTAGGTAAAAACCTCTCGCACATCTGTCAGCCATGAGCAGAAGTGACGAAGCAACTGTCCCTTAAGTTCCTATCTGCACTCTCAGAACCCTCCATTTGGTTAAGACCCCTGGAAAAATAAAAATATGTCCAGTAGTGATAGATTCCCTTCAAAACCAACAGGGGAAATACAAGTATTCTTAAGCAAATGGAAGGAACCCTCCAACATACCCTTTTGGGCATGCACAATAATCCTGGTTGCTATTGATTCAACTTGGAAGCCCTTTTGGTTGCATTCCCCAGTTTGCTTCCTCATAGTTCCATGCGCGAAATGTATTCAGGGTTCCTGGATGCACCAGAAAGGAATCCCCGAAAAACCTTCAGCGCTTGGCCCGTGTTACTTGCCACCAGCTTCCGACCCTTGACCCCTCAGCTCCAAATACCAAGGTTTCAATCGGTTTGGTTTCTCCACCTGAGTCACAATCAAAACCCGGTGTTAAAATGGTCTGCCCAGAACATGTAAAGAAACAAGAAGGCGGCCGCGGCTATTTAGGGTTGGGATTGTCCCTTACTATCCTTCATCTACCCGGGTTTTGATTGCGGCTCACTTGACTAAAACCTACCTCGACTTTTCTGGATCGACCGGGACCTCCAAAACCCCCCCAGAACCCGAGTGGGCATGCGTGCTTTCTGCCAGGACCCGACACCAAAGGGTGATCTCAAGCTCGACTCAACAGGGCGGCCAAGACGGGTCTGCCTTTCTTTCAGTTGGTAGCCCTTGTTCGGTGAGTGCAAAGGGAAACCAGAAGGAAAACTCTTGCACCATTCCCTGAGGCTGATTCCTGACAACAAAACACATCCAAACCCTGCAGGGGTGAGCGACAGGATGCTGGTAGGAAGGGCTCTTCCCATTCCCAAACAAAACCTGCACAGAAACAGGACCCCAGATTGCCAGGCACTGGCACCCTTAAATTCAGTGGGCTTCAAACTGCTGTGAAAGCATCGTAGGTGCTGAGGCCCATGGTGGTGTGTTGAACTGCAGTCATGATGATCGCCTTCTCGTTAGCAGCTCTCTCCTTCTACTGTCTGGTCAGGGCTTTCATCAAAAGGCGCCTACAACTCATTGCTTGCCCGTGGACTTCGGCAGTTTCCACTCCATCGTCGGAAAGGAATGGCATACCGAGAAAGGAAGCAACTATACGTTGCTTCAACGGGATTCTGTATCCGTTCAGTCTGTCGTGTCTTTCTTTGCAGTTGGTACCCTTTTCCGGGGGGGCGGGGGGTTGAAGTAACATCAAAAAAAAAACGCTACATTTTTGGGCCGAGGGGTCGCACATCTACCCATTTGCGAATGATAGGATGTCAGCCCCTGAACACAAAACAGTATTTGCAATGGACAACCTGGTTGTTCAAAATATACCAGCCAGAAAATGCCTGGCGAAGCAAACAAATGGATCAGATCTGATTAGATGATGACAGGGCTCCTTATCGGTGCTTACCAAAATGTCCAGAGCACTGGCACACAGTGGAATCCCCAAAATTGTGAATCCGCTAGTACTGCCCTCCGGATTCAACATTCGCCGGTACCCCCCCCCCAACTTGATGCTCTGTTGGATGTTGAAGAACCCGGTTGTCCATGGAACATACCGCCCTTGTTCACCCGTCAATCTACCAAGCACAAAAGGCAGAGTCTTTGGAGATCGTTTTATACCTGCATAACCCACAAAAAGATCCTTGGGCCTTTGAGCTACCCCTCCCTAAGGAAACCACTTAGAATTGCGGTCAGCCTAAGTGGGCTTCCAATAGCCCCAAACTACTACCCAAAAAAAAGGGACAGCGGGGGTCTACAAACACTATATTGCCACAATATACATACGAGGTATATGGGTCGGTGTATGAATTCAGGGACCCCTGGAACCTTGGCTTGCATGTGGATTGCGCATGGCTTCCAAAAAGGAGACTGTTCACTGTAGCCTTCACACGACCGTGGCAACGCGATTTCAGAAAGTGCACCAACTGGTGTGGTGTGTTTGCAGCGGATTTGGTCCATCCACAGCGGCTCCCTACTACGACACAACTTGCAAGAACATGGAAGCGGCAACGGGCATCAAGGGCGGCGCACCATTAGGGGGCAAGATCTGTTTCCCAGAGCCCCAAGGCGCCCGCCAGCACATGGCGCTTGTGGCGATACCTCGAGAGTTACCCACCCGCCTCCCCGGGACAGCGGGAAGCAGTGGCTGGGAAACAACGGTTACCTCAAACAAACCTGAAGGAAAGTTCATGATTGAGTGAACGCGCCGCGAAAAGAAGTTTGAGGGAAGGGAGGTTTCAAACAACTACAAGGACCCTCGAATCTTCCAAATACTTTCTCAAGTAGGAAATAAATAGGACATATTTGAGGTACGGGCAAGTAACCCCTCACTAGCCGCTCGCATGGCTCTCCCAAACTCCGGGGACTTTAGCAAGGCACTCATGAGAGGTTTACAGAAGGGGGTTACCTGAGTCGGGGTACCTAAAAAAAAATCCCTCAACCCTTTTGGGGGGATGAAAAAGAGGTCGCAAACAAAGAAAAGGAGGCGAATTTTCGGACAAGAAAGCTCGGCCTTCCGAAATGCTGGCAAAAGCTAACCGCGTTGTTTGTTGCAGTTTGGGGGGCGGCACCCCGAATGCCCGGCCTTGATTTTGACTGACGGGGTCTACGCGGGGGATCGAAATACTCAGCTGGCAAGTAGAACATTTCTGGGACTCCCCCTCAAATCGAAATTACAAAGCCTTTGTTCTGGGGGCATCGTTTTTGTTGAGGCTCAGTGCCCAAAAGTGGGTGAAGTGAAACCAAACGGAAACCGATCTTCGCACATCCGCCTCTTTTTTTGAGGTTACATGCGGGGTTTTACACCTGCTCAAGAACCTGCAAAGACAAGGGTTTGGGGTTACCCCTAGTAGATACGGACCAGCATTTGAACATGTCATTTCTACTTGGGGCTATCCTGAAATTACCAGGCCCCCTGGGGGAAGTGTAGGGAATGCACATGTTCGAATGCGGCTCTGTATTTCTATCAAGATGGTGTCCAGTAATTCTTCCTGACACACAACGTTCAAAGATGGCGTACACACTCGCTGGACCTTGTGCAACATCGTGGCGGAGGGGGTGTCTTTTGCGGCCAGCTGCCGTGAAATTCTTTCAGGTGAACCTTACAAGCCCTGTCCCTCCGCTTTTTGTTCCTCCGTTTTTTCCCCCATTGAGAGGCCCATGTGTGACAGGCGTTGGTGTTGAGCCCCCCGGCCACTCGCTAGTTTCGTCTGTCTGGTCTTTGCACTTCTTGTGCTGCTTGCGCCAGATGCGATGGCACCTCAGTGGGTTGGGACATTTCACCAACCCCATTGAGGCCATGCTTGGACATGATCGAACCTTGGAGCCAGCAAAAACCCAAAGGTAGGCCAAGAAGCTGACCCAAAGCATCTTCGTAATCCCACTTTTTGCAGAACCCCCCCCCAAAGCCCGACGAAAAAACAAACGAGTATACAGTCGGACCCTTGTCGTGACCCCATGTTTAGGCAGAATCCCCATACAACTAGCAGGGGTTTGGGGAACTTGAGAACAAAATTAAGTGATGACCATGGCAGGAAAAGGGCGGCAATTATTCTGACCTTTGATCAAGAGAAACGTGTTGGATGGCTCTGAAGCAAATCCCCCTTGCCCCACAAGGAACATTGGGCCCGGTCCCCTTCTCGTCTTCTAATCAACGGCATTTGGACGGGTGAGTCATCATCAACCCCGGTATTCAAATGGTGCACCCGAACCCAGGCGGCACCAAGAACAGCCCAGAAACCCCCTGGAACTCTCCAGCTTTCAGTCGAGGAATGATTGGGACTGTCCCGCACTCACCTTCATACTCCGTGTCTTTGGTGAACATCGGAGTCCAAAGTCCGACTAACTTGGGACGAACCGACATCCTAAAACTAGAGAACGTGGGTGTCTATTTTGGTAAAACACCCCCAAAATGGTGCTCTTGGATTTTGTTTGCTTCCCCCAAAACCACTGAAAAAACGAGCACCCTGAGGGGAAAAAAAAAACATGCCCATTTACCTTGGCACCTGCAACTGACGACGGACGGAAGCTTCCACTTGCGATGTTTTTGGGCTGTGGGCCCATCTGCCCACGGCGCCCGCGAGGGAGGCAGCGCGCGGTGGGGGCTCCTGGCCATGGCTTCAGTGAGGCCCTGCCGGGACCCTTGCGAGACAGCACTCCAGGCACCACAAGGGGCCGAAAAGGGGGCCCAAATGGCTGTGGGTCAAACATAGGTACCCAAAATGGCTTGCCCTGGTTCGTGGAAACATGGACTAACACCTGCGGTCCCCTGGTGGTTTCATTTTGACCCACAACCAAATCACCAAAAGTGGAAGGGAAGGTTCAGATTCGATGCGCGAATCGGATTGATTTAGGAGGGAAAAGAAGATTCGAGGGGCACGGGATCGGAAGTTTGGGCGAAGGGAAACTAAAGGAAACCGTTTACTGTATCATTTGTGCACCCTTGGTGGATCGATAATTTCTTTAAAAGGCGCCGCTCGCACCCAGTTTAAAAAAGAAAAACAACCTTTAAAGGGGGGTTGCTGCCATGCGACATAGAGGATTGGTCGACAGCAAACCAAGGAAACCGTTTTTCCAATACCCGGGTCTGGTCGACCTTTGGAGGCTCGAGCAAGCCAGCGCGCGAGTGTTTTGGGCAGAAACCAAAACCATTGGAAATTGCCGGGTGTACTTACAGTACTTCGTTGAACAGCCAGTATTGGAGCAGGGGTAATACAAAGTTCGCCTCGGAGTTTGCAATCCAAACATGTACTAACCAGGGGTGTGGCTAAGGTTATCCCCATGCCGCTTTTGAGTCATACTCAAAACCTAAAGGGCAAGTGCTCACCCTCCAATTGCCCGGGTTTGCAGTGTGGTTCGGGTGATAAGGTGGGCTTGCAGTGGGTCAAAAGAAGGTCATGAACAATATCGGGACAGGCCCATTTTTAGAAGAGGATTCTCCTTCTGGAAAGGACCCTACATCAACCAGAGAACCGCCTTTACTCAACCCTTCCCACTAGAGTGACAAGCCGAGCAGCCAACCCCCACGAAGAAATCCGTGACCGCCCAATTCAAAAGCCGGAGGGCACCACTCAATCCGCCCCGCTGACCCCGGCCTCTCGGCCCCGGGGTCCGCCTCGGCCACGGACTTTTTTTGGAGACAGGAGGGCGTCAAGAATCTGAGAGGGTTATCCCGAACAGGCTGAGAGTTTTGTTGATTCCGCCCCGCCGGAAAAGAACAACGCCAAAAAACAAAAGCAACCAGGAGGAGCACTTGAAGAGGAGCATGCAAAGGGATGGTTTGGCGCCCTTGGATGAAGTGGACTTAACACCCCCCCCACTTTTGCAAGAAACAAGGGGGCATAACATATCCAGATCGTGCTCACGCAGTGGTTGAAACTTCCGCTTTGGCTCTGCCGGACTTTGCTGGTACAGTGGTTACATACAATTTCCCCGTGGGGTGCCAAGTTGTCCGGCGGGTGCCTAGGATACAATAGTACTATACCTCATGCTCCCTGAAAAGGTTTAGGGGTAGTGGAAACCCTCTTGGTACCAGTCCAAATGCAAGCCGTTGAAGGAACTTTGAGAGTCAAGCAAACACACTGGCTGGATTTGGGGAATTTGCTTGCCAGGTTGATTCATGGGGGGGGAAGCATTTTGGTAAGGAGAATCCAGAAATAGACCGGCCGCGGCCGTTGGCTGATTGGCTGGCTGGCCGTGGCCGGCTGGCTGACCGGCTGGCCGGCCGTGGCTGGCTGATGGCCGTCTAATTCTCTCTTTGTTGTTGCCAGCGTGTTATCACGCCTTACCTTGTCTTATGCTATGTTATGTTCTGCTATCTATCTATCTATCTATCTATGTATCTATCTATCTAGCTCTCTGTCTATGTATCTACTTGGCTGGCTGACCGCTGCAACGAGCCAGACGCGCCACGGATGGCTGGCCGCGGCTGGGTGACTTGCCGGCCGGCCGCGGCTGGCTCATCGGCCGGCCGCCAGCCCAGTCAGCCACGGCTGAGCCATTCACTTTCTATATATCTACTTGCTTTCTATGCATCGATTTGTCTATCTTCCACCTGTCTATGTACCTATCTATCCATCTATCTGTCCAACCGTCATCTATCTCCTACCGATCTGCCCTGTCTACATATCTGTCTGCCAGAGGTATATATGTATATATACATACATATGTACATACATATGTACATACATATGTACAAACATATCATATCAGTCTCATCCGACCATATCTAACCCCATTGTATCTTATCCTTCTTTTATGTCCTATCTGTCTTATCCAAAATTTCTCTCATATCTCTTGTCTACCTTATCTACCTTACCCACCACATCTCATCGAATCTTATCCTAGCTGCTGATATCCTACCTTGTCACGCCTTTTCCTATATTGCCCTATCATATCCAACCTTTTCCTGTCCGGCCTTTGTGTCAAAATAGAAATACCTGCCAACCGAGCTGCTATCTCTATCTCTTTATCTATCTATCTATCTGCCTATCTCATCGTGTCCTTCTAGAAATCTGATTTATATCAAACATCTTATCTTATTTATCGTGTATCATATCCACCTTTTCCTACCTTACACACCTAATATTGTCTTATATGATCCTGTCCTATCCTAGCTCAATCTATCCTATTGGACCTTCCAAAATGATCCTGTCCTATCCAATGTAACCAATCTTGCCGCGTCTTATGCTTGCTTGCCATATCCAAATTTCAATCTCTGGCTATATCTGTGTTTTTTGGTTATGATCAGCAATGATAGTCGTTGCACGGATGAACATTATCATCCCATCATCACCATCATCTTCTTCATCCATCATACATCATCATCATTCTCATCATCAGTCGTCACCGTCATCATCATCGTCATCATCCACCATGGGTCCTGAACAGAAGAATTAACCACGCGGTCCCTGGAAAGAAGAATCAACAAGCTGGTTCCTCAAAAGGAGAATCAACTGTGCAGTTTGGACCTGCAAAACTTGAGCAAGTAAATGCTCGAATTTGATGCCCCTGAAGAGGAGGATGGGGCCTGCGAGCACGTCCCCCTCCTCCCGCGACTCCTCGTTCCGGGGCTGCTTCGCTGGCAGCTCCTCGTGCGGCGCCTTCAGCGTCCTCGCGACGTCGGAAGCTAGGCCGTGAAAGCCCTACCTTCTACTATATAAGGCTGTTGATTCGGAACTGGCTCATAAGAACCAATAATGTGCTGAATATGTGTTTTTTCTCCGCCGTTTTCGATGGCAATAACCGATCATGAGAATAACCAATAACTCTCCACCGTTTGCGCGTTTTCGGCACGCGCGCAACACGGCCAGGCCTCGCGGGCCTGGAGGAAACGTCTGGCGGTGGGGATGAGGACGGCCGCGGGGATTGGCAACGATCCAAACGCAGCCGGCTGAAAAGGATATTCCACAGCACGGCTCCTGAATTACGGGAACAACCATATGGTTCCAGAAAAGGTGAAGCAACCGTTGGTTCCACATGGTTCCAGACAAGGTGAAGCAACCATTGGCTCCTGAAAACTTGAACACAGGCGCCCAGCTTCCCAAAACAAGGACTTCAACAACTGGTGTCTGGATACAACCTGATGTAATTCCCGGAACAGCGCAACAGCCACCTAGTCTCTTCGCGCGCGACGACCGTGCACATCTAAGTCAGCAAGTGTCCATCAGCAAACTCGGGCATTGGCCACTGGCTCCTGAAAAAAGGGTCAACAGCATCAACGGCTCCGGAGTGACGGGAATGAATCATAGATTCCTGAACCAAGACATCAACGGAGCTCCTGCGCAGCGCTGAAGAGCAGGAGGATGCAGCACCCGAAAAACGGAGATCAACAACCGGCTCCTGCAGAAGGGAATGGACACCCCAGATTAGAAAGAAAGGATCAAGCACCTGGCTAATGGAGAAAAAGAAGAAGCAACGATCTGGCTCCCGAAGCCAAAGCCGAACGACTACTAATCTGCACAACGTTCCACAAAACAGCTCTCACGCCACGATGCCCCTATGCAATGTCAAGCGGGCTGCTCATCTTCCTTTCTCTTCTCAACCTGGCCAGCAACAAAGCTGAAAAGCTCTGGGACAGAATAGAATTCAGAGACAGGTAGCTGTTTCTTGGCACAGCTTCCTTCACAGCCCTCAAGAATTACTCACATGCAAATCTCCCAACTCTCTGCAGCATGACGCGTGAGAACCGGAAAGACGAAGTGCCCCTGCTCAGAGCTTCTCACAAAGGAGCTGGAGCAAGGTATACTTGCATAGTTCCAACACAGGAAGATCATGCAACAGCTGACTTCTGCAAGCAATACATTAACCATTAACAATAGGTCAGGAAGTGCCGGGAGACCAGGACTGCCGCGATAGTGGCGGAAATGAAGAGACAGGGGAGGTCCAATCTTACCAGTAGAGCCGGCCAAGCCGGTGGGCGGAAGTTTCTAAAGCGAGAAGAGTGCCTCTAGGAAGAGCTTGGCATGCATCTCTTTTTTGGGCTCTTTCTTTCTTTCCTTATTTGTGTCTTTCTTTCTTTCTTTCTTTCTTTCTTTCTTTCTTTCTTTCTTTCTTTCTTTCTTTCTTTCTTTCTTTCTTTCTTTTCTTTTTCGTATTTCTCTCTTTCTTTCTTTCTCACTTTCTTTCTCGCTGTCTCTTCTTTCTTTCTGTATTTCTTTCTTTCTTTCTTTCTTTCTTTCTTTCTTGCTTTCTTTCTTTCTTTCTTTCTTTCTTTCTTTCTTTCTTTCTTTCTTTCTTTCTTTCTTTCTTTCTTTCTTTCTTTCTTTCTTTTCTTTCTTTTCCGTATTTCTCTCTTTCTTTCTTTCTCACTTTCTTTCTCGCTGTCTATTCTTTCTTTCCTTCTTTCTTTCTTTCTTTCTTTCTTTCTTTCTTTCTTTCTTTTCCGTATTTCTCTCTTTCTTTCTTTCTCACTTTCTTTCTCGCTGTCTCTTCTTTCTTTCTTTATTACTTTTTTTCTTTCTTTCTTTCTTTCTTTCTTTCTTTCTTTCTTTCATTCTTTTCCGTATTTCTCTCTTTCTCTATTTCTCACTTTCTTTCTCGCTGTCTCTTCTTTCTTTCTTTCTTTATTTATTTCTTTCCTTCTTTCTTACTTTCTTTCTTTCTTTCTTTCTTTCTTTCTTTCTTTCTTTTCCGTATTTCTCTCTTTCTTTCTTTCTCACTTTCTTTCTTTCTTTCCTTCCTTCCTTCCTTCTTTCTTTCTTTCTTTCTTTCTTTCTTTCTTTCTTTCTTTCTTTCTTTCTTTCTTTCTTTCTTTTCCGTATTTCTCTCTTTCTCTCTTTCTTTCTTTCTTTCTTTCTTTCTTTCGTTCTTTCTTTCTTTCTTTCTTTCTTTCTTTCTTTCTTTCTTTCTTTCTCTTTCTTTGTTTCTGTCTTTCTTTCTTTCTTTCTCTTTCTTTCTTTCTGTCTTTCTTTATTTCTTTCTCTTTCTTTCTTTCTTTCTTTCTTTCTTTCTTTCTTTCTGTCTTTCTTTCTTTCTTTATTTCTTTCTTTCTGTCTTTCTTTCTTTCTTTCTTTTTTTCTTTCTTTCTTTCTTTCTTTCTTTCTCTTTATTTCTTTCTTTCTGTCTTTCTTTATTTCTTTCTTTCAGCACTTTATCTCCTTCTACTTAACAATCATCTATCTATCTATCTATCTATCTATCTATCTATCTATCTATCTATCTATCTATCTATGTATCTATGCATCTATGTATCTATCTATCTATCTATGTATCTATGTATCTATGTATCTATGTATCTATGCATCTATGTATCTATCTATCTATCTATCTACCTGTCTATCTATCTATCTATCTATCTATCTATCTATCTATCTATCTATCGATCTATCTATCTGTGTATCTATCTATGTATCTATGTATCTATCTATCACCTGACTTGCGCCTGCCACAAAATCTACACCTCAGGCTGCCAAAGTGCTGCGCCTGCCACGCGATTTGCACCTCCGAAACAGTTTGCGCAGCCTTGCCATTGAGGAACTTGTTAAAACCGGCGAGACCGCGACGAGACCGCACGCTGAACAGAGGTTCCCTTGGCGATTCGATTCTGCTTTATTTCGGGAGTGCGCATCTGCTTGATCAACTTTTCGTTTTACGGAAGTTTTGCAACTAAACTTCCTTTGACGATATGTATCTATTTGCTTGTCTGTCTATCTGTCTATGTCTGTCTGTCAAAAAACATGTTCATGGATTTATTGGTGTCAATCTGTCTGGCTGGCGGTCTGACTTGCCGGCCACGTCCGGCTGTCTGGCCGGCGACAGCTGTCTGATCAGCTGGCCGGCAGCCTGACCGGCCGACTGGCTGGCTGGCCGGCCATGCTGGCCGGCCACGGCTGGTTGTCTGCGGCTGGCTGGCTGACTGGCCGGCCGCGGCTGTCAAAGGCCGGGGCCGAGACGCGACCCCATCAAAAGGATTGGGTTCCTCTTTGGTGTCCCTTCATTTCCTTTGCAAACACTGCGAAAAAGTACCCTTCCATGGAATCCATCACGCCCCTGAGGAAAACGGGCTCCCTGGCCCCCCCTTTTGTCAGGTTCGTGGAGGGTAAGGTGATACCGAGGGAAGCCCGCAATGAAGGATTCAGCCCGTGTTTCCCCAATTTAAGGCCCTAACAAGAACTAATAAGGACCTTATCGAGCAAGGCCTTCGTTTCTCCGGACAAGCTGGTAAATCGGCCATAGCCCCCTCGGCTCATCCATGACAACCCACACCGAACAGACACCATAGAACTTTTTGACGGACCCTTTCCCAGGTTCCACGAATCTGAGCAACTTGCAGGCTGCACACGAATCCGCTTGAGGCTCCGACGGGTAGCGGTGGCACAGGTGCCTCCTTGGTGGATTGGCCCTCGCAAGCTGGAGCCCTTTTGACCCCAAAAACCTACCTGCGGTATCTCCAAATGCCCGAGCTGGTTTAAGGGTATATGGCTGTCAACTTGTTCCCTGCTCCGAACATTTGGGGAATCACAGCTTCACAGGTGACCGGATATGAGGGCAAGGCGCATATCTGCCTCAAGCCCAACGCTCTACAAAAGTTGTCCGGGACCCGCACACACACACACACAAACACACAAACACACAAACACACAAACAAACAAACAAACAAACAAACAAACAAACAAACAAACAAACAAACAAACAAACAAACAAACAAACAAACAAACAAACAAACAAACAAACAAACAAACACACAAACAAACAAACAAACAAATTAAACAAACAAACAAACAAACAAACGAACGAACGAACGAACGAACGAACGAACGGACCAACAAACAAACAAACAAACAAACAAACAAACAAACAAGCAAGCAAACAAACAAACAAACAAACAAACAAACAAAACAAACAAACAAACAAACAAACAAAACAAACAAACAAACAAACAAACAAACAAACAAACAAACAGAACAAACAAACAAACAAACAAACAAACAAACAAACAAACAAACAAACAAACAAACAAACAAAACAAACAAACAAACAAACAACCAACCAACCAAACAAACAAACAAAAACAAGCGAGAAAAAAAAACAAAAAGAAAGAAAGGAAGGAAAACAAACGCACCCACACCCGCCCCCCCCCCCACACCCACGCCGCACGCACGTACGCCTGCACGCGCGCATGGGCATCTCTACTCTTCATAATGATAATCTCCGCTTTGGGCGTTTCAATCCAGTGCAGCCATGTCGCCAAACCGCTGTCGCTTCCGGCTGGCTGCGCTGGCTCCGCTGCCTCCGCTGGCTCCGCTGGCTCCGCGGGCTCCGCGGGCTCCGCGGGCTCCGCGGGCTCCGCTGGCTCCGCGGGCTCCGCTGGCTCTGCTGGCTCCGCTGGCTCCGCGGGCTCCAGGTGTGCCTGGCGGAGGGTTCTTGAATGGTTGGCAACCCCCGTTCGAGACCTGGCTTCAACCCTTGTAACAACGATGACTGGCAGTTTGGGGGTGTTGTTTTGAGGCAGCAAAGCAAAGATTTTGGCAGCCCCCTATTTGGGTGCATATTTAGGGCTCCGAGCTGAAACACCGCCGAAGCCTTTCGCACCCTAAAGCTTACGAGTAGCAAGGAAAAACACAAACCGGTGGCAAGTGGCCCCCAAACCATCGCATGTAAGATAACTTCCTTACACAAAGGGAACCCAGTCACACAAAGGGTGTTGCCCAGAAGACCCGGCCCACACCACCGCCCCAATGAGTGCA